CAGGTTGAAATCACTCAAGCTGGTCGTAGGGTGTCATAAAAAACCCTTCATGGGAAGCCTACGGGATTTTAAAGAATTCCAAAACACCTTAGACATAAACAGACTTCTTAATTCACAGCAAAAGGCAAACTTCCTACACCAAAAGATGAGAACTTAAAACAGGATAAAATGTATGAATTACTTGTAAGGCTTAAACTAAGAATGTCATCGCCATTTCAAACTTTGTTTGTTTTGAACTCCCTGTTGAACCGGCAGTTGGGCTGCGTACATTTTCAAAGCATTTGCGGTGATGTTTAAGTCTCTCCTAGGGTTAAAGCGTTTTTAATTAACACTCGAGCTTAGCTAATGTTGAATTGAATTTTTGATAAGTTGAGAATTTCATCTTTAATTCACTAAAAAGAGCAGGCTGTAAAGCGTACAGTACGAAATTGATGCATCTGATTTGAGAAATAGGTTCGCTTGAATTGTCCAAGCGTAGGAAAATACATTTCTTACGCGACAAATTTCATAAGGTCCAAACTCTTTGTTTCGACTTGTTTTGCCAATTAAATTATTAGCGACACCTCATTCACATTCATTTCCTTTCTCATTCGATAGTCATTGATTTTAAAGAATTACTTAAAATAAATAAGTATGCGGAAGGTAAAGGCCTTGACGGACCTGATTCAGAGGAAGTAAATTTAATGTAGTTTAAGTGACTTCGGTTACTGTAGTGCTTACACGCTCTTCACGTTCTTTTGATTAATTTTCAGTCATACATGAGTGTAGAATGGCCTTGAATTTACTTATTACCATGTGATGGTGACCTCGTCTGATATTTACGTAAATTCTCTAAAAGTAAACATTGCCAAATGTCGTGGAAAATCTGTGATTTGACCAATCATCTTAAGAAAATAAGTACTAAATTGGCTTGGACACTCTGTTTCGTAAATAAAAGAAACTACGAACTTTGCAATAATTAAATTTTAGGTCCATATGCAAGCTTTTCAAACTTGCACAACGATACCTAGGATTTCTTCGAATACAAGTCTATCATTTTTTTGTAAAAAAATTCCATAATATAAATAGAAACTTCGCCTTGCCTTTAAAATCTAAACGACATACAGCTGTTTATCCCTGATTTTCTTGTTTTAGTAAGCAAGATTTTAGTAAGATTGTCAGACTGCAGACAAATCAAAGTTTGATAATACAAAGAAAATTAGTTTAATGAGAGAATAAAAATCATTCGATGAAGCTAGTTGTCAAGAGTGATGTGGAATTAGCTAATTAAATTCAAAAATTTGGTAGCTAAAACTTAATTTCTAATAATGTGTCGGCTTTGTGCAATGATTTTGATACAAGCTATAATTACCATCATCATCAAACAAAATATACGATGAACAAGAACTTGGACCATTAATTTAAATACCACCTAATCAAAAGTCTTCAAAGTCAGTGATGACAGTGATTAAAGCATGTTTAAATTTCAATTGAATGTGCATGCAAAAATGCTGCTATTTAATCGGGAATTGCACAACGTATTCGTGCCCAACATGGTATTTTCTAGTCAAACGCGTTCTGATAAAAACTTGCCCATTGTAATTGTAATTCTTAATTTTTTTAAAAAAATACATTTTTGAGAAAAAAATGTGTTTCCAGTTTGTTTGATTGACTATGATGCACCATTTAATAAGCAAGGCATATGTTTTGGAATTCGTGTACGGTAGAAGATATGGGCAATCAGCAAATGGAACCTGAAGGCATAAATGTCCTAATTGTATTTGGATGCGAAAAAAAAGAAATATTCTTAGGATTCTTAGTCTTTTTGTTCGATGGTACCAAGTTTGGCTTTCCTAAAAGTACTAGAATAATAGAAGTACTGAGATAATGTATTGACGTGAACAATATGGGAAGCATTTACCTTCTCCATGCTAACGAGACAGTTAGTTTTTCGTACCTCAGCAAAAGGCAGGTTCCTTAAAACATTTGTTTTATCCCAATAGCTTCGGGTTATACGCGACGTTTTTTATGTTCCACCATCTAGAAACATAATTTAATATCTTTGCATGATCAAGACTGCGAGAAACACTACTAACGATTCGAACGCACTTTCCCTTTCTGTCTTTTTGCTATTCGATTTTAAGTTTACGATCGTAAAAGTTCAAAAGACCTCTGCATTCATTCCAGTGTTCCATATTACAAAATTGGAATTTCTTTGATTTAAGGCACACACCACATCATTACTGCCACCTGATTCAGTACAATTAAACATTGTATTTACTTTATTTTTCTGCGTCGAACATAAGAATAACGACACATTTTTTAATCATTAAAGCGAGGAAAGTAAAAACTATGGAGGATATGCGAGATTTTCACACACTAAACAAGTTATCCCTCCAAAATGGTACAAGCACAGAGAGCATAGGTGTGCGACAGGGAATTCCGGGTTCGGTGGAAGAGTGGGGTAGCGGAATGATAAGGGAGCAGCAGCGGATAAACACACACAGAACAGATGCACAAGAGCTTCTTATGAAAATGAGGTATTTTTAACTTGGCTTGCATCAAGAACAGTGACTTCTACTCAAACTTCTGCGTTTTATCTTCTTAAATTTGGGTTTTTTTCCAGGTGACGTATATGAGAGACGTCGGAAATTAGAACGGCAGGAAGTAAGACAATTGGTTTTGATGGTAATAATGAACGCAAAATGTATAAAAGGGCACTAGAAACGGGCTAGTTTATAAGGTGATCCATTTCGCCGTGGAGTACTGCAAGAGCAGCCGAAGCTTCACTGTCCCAAGGCTTTATGCCCTGACACAGCAACTCTTCAACTTCACCGTCGGTGAAGCCACAATTTAAATCTACCTTTGTCGGAGAAGTAATGTGGCGAATTGACTGCGAAAAGGAATGTGATGAAGGTCGGTCATTGAACCGATGTCCAGGCCCAAAATGTTTACTTCGATTGGCTGACATCCCACCACGGAAACCTCTTCCATTGCCACAAGTTGTCTTATCACTCAAAACTCCGGCAATTCCATTGAAAAAGCGTCGGCCAACCCCGGAGACACCAACATCGCCCCGAGGACAGGGCATTGCAACACTATTGGTGTTGTTTGAATCAACCTGCCTTCTATGGTTATTATATCGTTCCGACTCACCCTCACCCAGGGGCTGGTGTTTTTCCCGGTGAGTTTGACTAGAATTAGGATGATCTCCTGATGCACATGCAATGTGTTGTTCAGGTTCTTCCACGATGGCCACTTCTCCCTCTTTACTCTCTTCCACGTTCTCCGCAGTTAGCTTAGATGGCTTCTTAGGCTCATCGCGTCCAGACTCATCGGCATCCCCATCACCAGGTTGTCCACTTCCATCGACTTCTCGGGTAATCGGATCAGCTGGGGCGTCCACATTGGGCTCAATGGACTGCTGATTTGCATTTCGTAAGTAGCGAGCACCCAAACGACCACCGCTACCACCTTGTTGAGTAAATGGAAAATTATTAGGGCCACCAGCAAAAGCCGCCCTTGCAATAGCTGCGGCTCCCCCTGCCCTGCGCAGTATGTGACGATTAAGGTTTTCGATCTTGCGCATCATTTCCCTCTGATGTAATCGCCATGGACTACTTATTGGAGTCAGCCACTGTACCATTGCTGCAGCGGCTACGGCAGCCGCCTCCATTTCTTCTTCCATTGTGTGTTGGTCAGCCAAAAGGTTTCGAAGGTCTGTTCGCAGCTTCATGAGACTGAAGAGACCCAAATCGTGACCTAGGTGGAAAAGAAAACCAAGGTCAAGTAGATCTTCAGTCATTTTTAGCCATGAGGATAAACGCAAAAATACCAGCCATGAGACCCGCAACGCTATCAATCCAATCAAGGTGAACTTTCTTCTCCCAACGTTGTACTTTGGTTCCTTTGGCTTTGTCTGCCATGTGCTGAAAGAGAGACCAAGGTTTTTCGAAGATTAGGATGCAAGACTTGCACCAGTACATTTGCCCTGGGTCTAGGGCAGCCTTCAGCTTGACACATTTAACATGGTCGCCTTCCTTATCTAGGAAGCACTCAAGATAGTGGTCCTTTAGAAGGTTGCAATAGCTTTCGCTACCTCGCCTTTCCAAAATTTGTTTGCAGGTGCCTAGGAAAGAACCAAAATCAAACTAAGTGCTCCCACATAAAAACTTCAGTAAAAGTTAACTTCATTTACATACTCAAAATTTATACGACAACAGTTACCGAAGCGTTACGCTGGTCGATGTAACCACCACAAATTTGGACCACTGCAATATGCTTCCTTTCCTTTCTCCCCTAAGTTTTCGCCTTGTTAGATTGTAATTTGTAATTTAAATATTGAATCACAGCAACGGCTGTTTAATTTAAGATGAGATTGACTTATTAACCACCTAATAACGTGTTTAAGCAGCAAACCTAGTGAATGCTATTATTACATAGTATTAGGCCAACCCACTTGCAACTATTGGTCAGTGTATTTATGCAGACTTCCCACCGCAACCCATTATCTTCCATTAAGAATAACAATTTCAAGTAATAAGTTAGAAAAGTCGGAGGAAAGCTCTTTAGAGACACTTTACAGACCCACAAAATACGTTGACGTTATTAGATTAAAATACCATGTTTGAGTGTTAAAAACATACCGCACATAATTTGGGAGTCAAAGGCCAGGTAATCTTGTTGGAAGTTTGGATCAGGAGTAAATTCAGGCAAGTCAACTAGTCTTTGCATCAAATCTACAATAACAATTTGTTACATATAGTGGCATAACTCAAAGTGACAGAATGGCAGGCTGAACAAAATGAAAAACCTGAATCGTTTGTTGGGAGTTCTGATTCAAAACCTTCAGTTGGTGCAGTAGCAGAACCTTTGTTCTTTTCTTCACCGCTTGTAACCTCTTCACCTGAGTCAACTTCTCTCTGCTTTTCGCTGGGTTTTGGGGGATCAGTAATGGTTAAGCGAGAAGAAATTGCCATATTGTTGTTATTGCGGCCTGATGCATTTTCTGGCGCAGGTTTTTCCTTAAGAGCCTATAAAATTTGCAAGTGTGAAAGAATAGAATTTTCATTTCACGGAGAAGCAACTTTAAAATTAGTGCCTCAAATAATGTTTTTGGTGATTAATATCTGCAGTTAGATGTGAATTGCAGATAAAAACTAAGGGACTAAAAAATGTGTACTTACAACTTCGAGAGGTTTGATTTCTGACCAAAATCCCTCATGGAATCTTAACTACGTTTTAAATTTTAATTAGGGTAATAAAAATCCTAGTTATTTAAAGCATAACCTCAACAGTAGATTATGGGTTTGGATCTGAATAACATTTCTGCCACTTAAAGCAGTGTATTTTTCCCTGCCTGCTGTGAACTTGATTTTAAACAGATAATCTTCATCGACTAAGTCATTGTCTCATATTTTCTCAAAATTTCAAAAAAGGAAATGAGTTAGAATAATTAACGACAGAATCAGCTTATTTAAATAACTCCTAATGAGATATCAGACTCAAGGCTTTCCAGAATTGTCTTCTGGGTAGCTAAATAATTTAAAATTCAAGCCTGCAACAACCACCTTAATCCTAGTGCAGATTTGTTAACAAAAAAGTTGACTATTTTTCTGTAAAATATAGAAGATACTAAACATTTGAAAATTATCAGCAGAAAAGGGAACAAATGTGCATTAAGTAAACTCGATGCCAATTTTTTTTAAAATAATGCACACCTACAATTTGCTATTTAACTTCCTTTGAGGAGCTGTGATTTTAGTTCATAAAAAATTTTGCATGCAATAATTCAAATTAAATACTGTGAATTAGTTATTCACATCAGTAGAAAATGGCTGAAATAAGGATTGATTTCAAATATCTTTCTATTTCCATGGTTAAAAGTGCAAAGGGTACCTTAATACCGTGTCAAAACGCATCAACGTATAGGATGATTTACATTGGCACTGAAAATATCTTAACTATTGTGCATCTTAAGCAGGAAAAAATGCATGTAGTAAAGAGGTTAAAAATGTTAACTGCATTGCAGTAAATTGTGGCATCAGATACCGAGATGGGTGACTATAATTCATCAGACTCTAAGCGAATAGCCTCGTTGCCTAGACAGCAGCTAATACAAAAAAGTTAACGTCTCCATTTCTAGAAAGTAAAAGTGGTTTAGAATAATCAAAGGATGTTAAACGAACAACGAAGCACAAATCAAATTTTTTTATAAGACGAAATAAAAAAATAAACGGTAATGTAGAAACGGCAACGGATTAACAAAAAGTATTAAATAGAGATTACATCTTCCGAAATAGAAAATATTCCGTTTGATTGTTCTACTGTTCTGAGAGGAGCGCCATCATGAGAAAAGTGGCAATTCTCCCCAAACCGACATCCTGAGGATAATTTATCCCTAAAAATACAACAGAATATCAACACTTACCAAAAGAACTTGCATGGGGGTCGTTTATCCGGAATATGTAAAAAATTGCAATTGTCTCCATACCAGCATCCGCCCAATGCATTAAAATAGCGACATATTTTCTTTTCCGGATCAGCCATGAAAAAACCTTTTCAAAAATAAGGCGGAATTTTATCAACAAGCCCCAAATTTCGAAATTGGCTCAGCAGCACCACGACAACATATATTGATTTTCAATTACGCCCCAATGGGTGGACATAAAGCAAAATATGCATTAGCAGCTTAGTTTCAAGGTACTAAAACAAATAATTATATTAACAAGCAGCTATTTAAAATGTTTATTCTTAATGTTTACTTCTTATGTACATGGACTGTTATTATGACGAGAAGCCAACTTAAGTTCGATGATAAATTACTTAAACGTCATGGTATTTAATTCATTTTCCATCATACTAAACGAACTGGAATCGCATGTTTTAGTAACTTTCAATTACATAAATTTGCATATATACAAGTGGTTTAAATAAAATTTGGCAGTGAGCAATGAATTGATAGTTAGTGTGATAATTTATTGAAGTGTCTAATTTTTTTATTCATTGGATTTATTCTAAAAAACCTAGTAAAGCATCAAGGAGACGCGTGCAAATTTGATAAATTGAAGAGTAAGGAACACGAAAGCGTATCTACATAAAAATTACTTCTTGTTATCTAGTCAAAAATACTTGCACGAGATTATGTCATATTTTTTGTCTTTCGCCTCACAGAAATCTCACTTTAATAAAAAAAACTTGCGATTTTAGATAACATATTCTCATTTGCCTAGTAATAACTATTAATATTTCCCAATAATTTTTTTCTTTGATTGATATCATATTCTCAATAACATTCACTGAAAATTTATTTAATCGACTAACGATATCCACATAGATTTGAGGTGACGCTCAATTTTTATCTGCATATCTGCTATACATCTTTACTGCTTAAAAACTAGATCAAAACGCATGCGCTGTTAAATGTTCTGAATCGTCTTGTATTCTATAGTGTTTTGGTGTATAGTTGTTTTTTTATACAAAAAACGGACCCTATTAATTTTATAATATTAAATATGTACAGTAGAATATTTTTATCATCGTTTAATAGTGCTATGTCTATTGCAAATTACGTTTACCATTCTAAATATTTGTAGTTTCGCTGTGGGCAAGGTTTTTTTTGGTTTGTTGTAATTTATTACTAATTATAATATTAACAACAGCAATAACAATAATCAAAAGTGTCCAAATGCATTCTAATCCGTAAGTTACAATTCGTAAAACAGGAAAAAGTCAGGGTCGATTCTCATAGGCCAAAAGGCAAGTATTACAATAACTCAGATGACGCGATAATGCGGGTTTTTGCCATGTCATTTTTAGTTGCATCTGTAAAGTTAGTACACTTGAGAAAGTTTAATTCTTAAAAATAACTTTGGCGCCCCCTAAGTACTTGAAGTTAATTATATCAGTGAAGAGATGATGGTCGAGATAATTAAACTTATGAGTGTTGAATGCCCGAGTCATAGTATGAGGGTGACCGGCACAATAGAACAGGCTTTATTGACCAATCACATACCAGAACCACACATCAGGCGTCGTTCATCCAAGCCCACTGTAATAGGCCAGCATATGATAAGAGAATGTAGGAACAGTTAAACCGGTTTATTAGTAAAATATACTGACAGGAGTCTCCAGTATCAGGGTTCATGTAACTTATGGACAAAGTGTCAGCATATACATTTTGTCCGAGTTGTTCGTGTCAGCCCATTGGCTCCATTTTGGCTTCTAGAAATAGAAAGACAAACTCGTGAGGGGATTGAATAGTCTTACATTGGCGCTCAATTTGTAACCCCACAGCCTCACACACCCGGAAATCACACCACCTCTCACGTGGTGACGCCGCCACGGCTCGCCACTGGCTCTCGACCATTGACTAAACACCAAAACGGTGGCCATCTGTCCCCATGCTGCACCACCATGCAGGCTACGCCACCCTTCATATACCCTTACTCAGAGGTGTTTGCCTCAGGTTGGCTGCCTGTGTTTCTCGCATCCCATTAGAATTCAGAGAGACAGCTGACTGGCTAAGGTCCAATAAGACTGCGGCCTTATGCGTCGCTACATCAGGACTGATAAATCCTTTTTAAGGTCTTTAGCCTCAATGTTTTTTGTAATCGCAGTGTAAAGGGGAAATACATGGTCTGCTAAACGACGAATTTATATCTCAAAGGCTAATATCTTCCATATTTGCATTGGTTTTACTAACTTTTGTTAGATCTGGGTTTAAAAAGACTAATAAAATAATGGCAAAGTGATCGCGCATTCCAAAACGTACCCATTATTGATAAGAGACAAACAAAGATCTTTCATTTAAAGGGCCGTTTTCTTCTTTTCTAATATAAATAAACGAAATATTCAGGTAGTTTTTTAATTGTTTTAAAAAAGGTCTATCTACACTTTCGTCAGTTTTTCCGCAATGATTACAATGCTCTGTCAAGGATTTGATGAGATTCAAATTATTCTTAGCAGCAGAGCATTTGCTCATAAATATGGCTGTTTGGAGTCTTGGAATATAGAGCTATCCTGTTTGATATTTGGACTAATGAGCAAAAATGACGATTCTGACGTAGTTCAATACCGAAAACTAGGTGAGAAGGCTGGATTAATTTAAGTTGGGCGTTCGTGTGTGAACAACAATTTGTGGCTTTACATTTAAGAGTGCATAATATATTGCGATGATCTCTTGCATAACTTCAGCTGTATGATAAATTTATAAATATGCAACAAAGTGGAGATATGCCGTTAGCTAGCACGGTAGAACTGAAAATCAATCAACGGTCTTACTACTCTGGATCTGGAGGGGGATGGATATTGCTGGACAAAGACGGCTTTTTAAAGAAAAGACTTTGGTCACGGAGGTAATAATAGTTAACGAATGTGAAAGTCACGGAAAATTTTGAAGCGAATTAGGATCAATTAAATGTTAGAAGTCAAATTAACAGGTTGTTCTATGACAAAGCTTTTGTGGTTCCAGCGAATCTGAAAAATTACATTTCTTTATATTTGCTAAATATAATTACTTACTAATTTATATAAAATCAACTGAATTGAATTGTTCGAGAAACATTAATATCAACTCACAAAAATAAAAGCAAACGATAGTGCTATGTCAAGGCAGGATTTTGAATGCCTAAGTCGTCATGCTGAGTACTATCACATTCGACGCATTACAAGACATGTCAAAAAAGCATAATGTACCTTCTAAAATCGCTTCTCATGCAAACTACTGCAAAATAATTGCCATTAAGATAAGCAATGAGCTGCACCGGATCAATTTAGTAAAAAAATTTATTCACGAGTTAAATGGAGGCTGCTGACAAAGTGTTTTCCATCGCAAGATTTAAGAGCTGATTTTTTTAAGTCCAAAATTACAGCAAATGATCGAGTTACACCTCTCTGGAATTGCAAGAAAAATAATGAAAGATTTAGGGCAAAAATGAAATGCCCACTTAGCAAAACATATTATAAACTGTCAGGAGCACTAGATCAAATTTAAGTAAAAAAAAAATTCTAAGGCGGGCATGAACATGGAGACAAATAATAAAAAGCATGAGGTATCCACATCAGAATTTCTAAACCAGATCTGGGGTTGGTAACCGGCAGGCAGACAGATGATATCCATTCTCACATATTTAGGCTGAATAATCTTTAAATATGTAGAGGGGAATCTGCATTCATAGCAATCGAATAAGTCATTTGTAATATCATCCAATTACGCTTATGGCGCCAAATACATAGAAGTTGGTAAATAGCCTTACTTGGTAGCAGGTAGGTTTTTGTGCAAAAGGCCGGTTTCGGGGAAATAAACACGTTTCGCCTTTTGGTCTTTACGTACAATGAACACTGTTCTGGAGCAACAACGTTCTATTCACGAAGAGAGGGAACGTCTAATAGACGCAATGTCTAAAGAGATGTGTTTCAAGCCGAAGACGGTATGTTTTTCTCTTTAAACTTATTATTTTTGACAGCACAAGGAAGGCGTCAATTCGGAATTCCGTCTGCGAACAATGTTTGACGTAAGGTTTTTATAGTGCTTAATGGTGCTAGAGATACATTGAAATAACGAAGACGCTCAGGGAACTTTACGAAGATAAGGATGGGTAAGCCTCATCTCAGTAGCAGGGCTCAGTTCCTGTTGATTCCTCTAGATTACATTAGCGTTTTCTTGTTTCAGTTTGCGGAAGCAAGATATCCAGTCTCTTTCGGGTCCGAATGAATTCAATGAATTTTATTCCCGACTAAAGTCCTTAAAAGATTTTCATCGTTCTCATCCAGATGAGGTGATTTATCTGCGTTCGGGTATCAATATGAAACTATTGAGTGTAGCTCTAGGTTCTTATTCATATACACTTACTTTGTAGTGTTTCATGTTTTCCTATTTAGCCTCGATTCATTTGATTTATAATAGTTCGACTTTAACATCGTGGAATTTGTGTAAACATAATACAGGGAACAGCTTTTACCCTACTAATCATTACATTCGTGTATTGTTTTGCCAACATCGTTGGTGTAACCGGTATATTCCAAAAGTGTTTAACTTCATATTTAATCCATATTTAAGATAAGTATCCCAATGTCCATCGAGTTCGAGAGGTATAAAGAGATGCGCGAAAATCCAGAGGAAGCCGCTGCAACCATGATCGAATTTACTGACGAAGAGGGTTACGGGCGCTTCCTTGACCTTCACGAACTCTATGAGATCTTCATCAACATCAAGGGCACTCCAGTAAGTCCCGCCGTTACTGTTTTATGTACCGTCTAGCGCGTTTATCGTTGCGATTTTTTCCCATTTTAAAAGCATTAGATAGGGAGCCAATAAGCTTTTTAGGCACGGTCTTACTGAAATGCACCATACTTTATAAAGTCAAAATTGGCTTTCTTGAGCGTCAAATCGGTAAACATAATTTTTGGTAAATTTATACCAAAATAGGTCGACATTACTGTCGCCGTCTTCAGCCAGTTCCACTTTTGCATTCCATTGCACTATTGTCATCGTAGTTTTTGATCTTCACCGTACAATGCATTGACGAATTAATCACACCTATTTTCTCTTAGAATTAAAAATTTAAACATGGACTTCAATAAGATTAAGAAAGTCAAGTTGTTTTCAATGCGTATTTTTTTATTTTTTAAATGTTTAACGCTTCGTCTAATGACTATATTTTACTTATGTAATATTGTAAAAACTCTACATCATAGACAGTGGAATTTTCGAAGCTCTGAAGGCTCATTTGGTTAACTTCTGCGCAACACTTTCCGGATTTCACTACCGTTTAAGCAGCCCGGGCGTATTATATTGCTGCATATTTTCCACGCCCCATCAATATCGGTTTCAGTAAATTAGCTACCAATTTTTCACCCTTTTGAATATATGTGACGGAAAATTTCTGAGCATATGAATCTGTTCTCTTGTAAACCTGCAATCTATTAATCACTACTTTCTTTTATTACGATGAGCTGACTTGTGAGCCCTTGGTAAGGCTAGAGAACGTGAAATCGGAATGCCGAGTTACCTTCTTTTTCCCTAATTCAATCTTAATTTAGATACTCTCATTTCAATCTTGTTCGTGAAATCATAAATCAATGGTCTGCACGCATACTTTTCTGTGTCCAAGCCACACTTACGTCATTCTTTTAAAAATATGCATTTTCCTCTATGCAGAAAGTAGATTACCTTACATACCTTCAATCATATGATCGGCTTTACGAGATTCTCCAAGAGCGAAAAACATCAGCCTATCGACAATACCTCGAAAAGCTAATCGAGTACCTTGAGGGCTACATTTCTCGTGCCAAGCCTATGGTCGATCTTGCCGAGGAATCTGCTAAAGCCATTGCCAGGTTTGAGAAAGAATGGCCTGAAGGTAACTTCCCAGGCTGGGGTACCCCCGCCACCCCGTCTGCCCTGGCCCACACTGGAGCCCATCTCGACCTAACTCCCTTCACTAAACCAGAAGAGCTCGCTTCCCTCGGTCTCGATCGCCTTAAATCCGCTCTCCTCGCACTGGGATTGAAGTGCGGTGGGACTCTGGAAGAGCGTGCTCAACGTTTGTGGGCAACCAAAGGCAAATCTCTAGAGGACCTTCCGCCAGAGATGTTTGCCGCAAAAACCGCACGAGGCGGACGCAATCGAAGCAAAGTAGTGGAGTAAGTCCAACGTTTGCCGCGGTCTTGCATCAAGTCGATCATTGCTCTTTGCATTACTCAGGGTTGCTTACCAGAATTTTAACATTCGCCGACATGCACAATGCGCCTGTCATTTATTTACATTCTTTTATGATTTTAATTTTCAATTGCAAAACTTCATTAACTTGCGGAAAGTTCTTCATATTATAATTCTAGGCCCTTGATGTATAACCCCGCGGTTAGAGAGGCGCCACCACATTTTGATCTGGTAATTTTGATTCTGCATTCTAAAATTCCAAAATTCTGCCCCCTTTATCGTTTAGTCGTAACTTATTCGTTTAATTTTTGCTAGATTTTAAGTGTTTGCTAATTATGTGTGTTTGGAACTGAAATATTCCTTGTTGGCCTACTAAGTCTCCAATGCTGTTTATTCTCCAAGACTGATTTTTCTGGTCAAAAAATTGTCAGGAACTCGCTGGCCCCTATGTCAAAACTCGTCTAAAGCAAGTTTCCTGAATTTCATGATACCAGGCAGTTGTATCAGGCAATGATTTTGTCGGGTTAACTCGTGAACTATGTAACAGGATTGACGTACACTTTAACTAATACTCTCTGGTCATAACACAAGGCGGTTTCTACTAGACAGGAATAGGGTCGTCAAAACCACTGCTCGTGATTCATCATTCTGCGGTCGTCTCAAATTATAAATTCCTTTAGTAGTGAAATAATTAGCTCAATCTATAAAAAAGACAGGATGTAAGCCTGGGGATCTGTGAATTGCTGTTGCGAAACACGACCATCAGCAATTTTTCGTGTGATGATGCGATCTTTTGCTCCCACCCACAGCCAATCTCTTTATTGTATGTTTCCACGTTTTCTCCAAAGAGAGCCGACCTCTCCACACTGCTTCTAGTCTAAAACGTATCAGCATGTCTCAAAGCGGTAAAATCCCCCATTTCATTTGTCACCAGTAACCAAATTTATGCGAACATTGATGGCTTAGTCTCTTCTCCTTATGACACGTGGCCCGATATACAAAGCATATGATCGTCCCGTGCCATAAAACAGTCTCCATAGTCTATTTCGCAGACAGTGTATTTATTTCTTTGTATCAAAACTAAATTAAAATCTCTCGTGTAATGAAATGGTAACTGACCTGAAGAGTATTCCTCATTTCGTACTTAATAGACGTCAGAAATCATGTCACATAAATTCCGGAAAACGGTAAATTGTTGTCGTAAAATTTCGCGGGGAAAACACCCGTTGGACGTTTTTGCCGTGCACTCTAAAATGGCACTTAATTTGGTGATATTTTGGATGACGAAAGTGTAAAATTAATCGAAAAAATCAGCACTTTCTGCTCACGCTTTTGTTGTGTGTTTGGGGGAAACCTTTCCAGTCGTTCACCCATCAAAATGTTATTAACACTTGGTTTCGGAATTCGTCTGCCTCATTTTCGTAAATAAACATAAGTCATTATAGGGTCAATTGTTCTCAATGTTCAGCGAATCAGACGCCAGTCTGTCGGACCGCTACCGTGAGATTGGCATGCTGGAGGCCTGTGTCTACCAACTGGCAGAGCTGCTCAGTGAGCATAGAGCTGCAACTATTGAAAACGTCCAAAGACGTCAGGCTCGAACCCTCGCAGAACGGGAAGAGGAGGATGACAGTGACGCAGAAAATGAAGTCGGCGGCGCCAAGAAGGACGGTGAGGGAAAGGACGGCGAAGGAGACGAGGAGGACGATGACATTCCCTATAACCCGAAGAACCTCCCTCTAGGATGGGACGGCAAGGTGGGTCCAATTTATTGTCGATGCAGCTGTTCATCTCCAGTTTGTGGGCTTTGCTAAACCAGGATCGTGTGCGATTCTCAACGAGACACTTCTATGTCTCTGCGTACATTATTGCCCCTCGATAAAAAGGCCAAGCTAGCTCTAGGGGGCCAACGAATGATCTCAAAAAGCACACATTTGTTGGACAATGTTAAAATAAATACAATAGACTGTGTTGTAGCCTTCAATTGTTATTGCGTTGAACAGTCATTCATAGTCCCTAGCAAGCCTTGTGGCAAGTGGTCTCAAAACGTAGGGTGGGTTAATGTTAACTTTGAGCCTTCACGCAATTTCGGGAGCCATTTATTATGAATGGTCTATGGAGCACTTTTTGCGTTCTTTCATGTAGCCTAATCCCATTTTTTCATCATTGGGTCCCTCGTCCATAGGGTCTTATGGCACTTTTCGATTTCATGATTAAGGAATAAACAATGGATTCACTGAACGTTTCTCTTTCGAGAATTGTAAATGACATTGCTTTAACTCCTAGTAGACATTTTCGTCCACAGACTTGTCAAATATATTGCACACTTAATCGAGATTGGGAAAACCGAGGCAAGATTTTATCGGTTTTAAAGTGCCCCCAGTTCTACTTCAATACATTTCGACTTACGGTGTAGCTGGTAATTTTGGCGGCTTTCGTTTGAATGAATGTCAAATTGATTAATCAAATATCGTCCTCGGCTGCAACCCTTCTCGTTTTGTGTTTGTAAAGCGTTTCTTTATGTTTGATTCCTTTACTAAGTGACCTTCAGCCATAATTTGTTGCTCTTTCAAAATTGCCCGAAAATACAATAGATCCTTGTAAAGAGTGAACTGCTAGGAGGACCGTCGTTACTGTTTCAATCTGTCAATCTATGCCGTCAATTGGTATCCGTGACAGGCGTGTTCGTTGTTTTTTTTAAACAGTCATTGCCTCGAATCTGCCGGAATTGATAGAATGCACGCATAATTCTAATTGATCACTTCAGGAGTTAAATGCAAGCGAGTTCAGCAAGAAAGCCGAGTTCACCGTTTCATATTGTCTTGTGGTAGTGAAAAGCTAGTTCTAGAAAGTCGTTATTTAGTCTTTAAAATGTTACTGTGTTTTAATAAAGAAGATGGTGCTAAACCACCTAATAGACGATATGAAATTGTGCAGGAGTGTAAATTCTAGTTTGAAAATACCCTGAATGCTCGAGTTATTAACAAAGTTACTTTTTGTGCCTATTTGGACCTTTTGAAATGCCAGTATTTCTCAAATCTGGGTGCTAAAACAAGCGAGCTAAAGAAACGGTGTATTCTGAGCACAATTCATGCACAACCCTTTCATGTATTCGAGTAATATGAAATTACATGCGTAAAACTGGCACTGCTGTACGCGGAGAAACGACGAAAGGCTTTGTAGGCTCATTCACACTCAATTGCACCCAAACACATCTCCATAGTTCCCTGGTTTTTTTCGAACTTTTTTTTCAAACATCTCGTCCTAACATTCACAGACATGTATGGATGTGTGGGTATTTGTCTTCAGTATCCATTTCATCCAATGTACCATGCTTTGATGAAGTGACTTCCTACAATCATTACGTATTTTGTGTTATCAATATTGGTATAACAGTGTGACTGATGGCTATTTAAAATTGAGTCGAAGCAGTTATATTACATGAACTAAGGCCTATATTCGCATTGAAGTCAACCTACAGTCTATCCATTTTATTGGTGGTCATTTTTTGTACATCTGTGTCTTTTAGCCCATACCCTACTGGTTGTACAAACTCCACGGTCTCAACATGTACTACTCGTGTGAAATCTGCGGCAACCAGACCTACCGCGGTCCCAAGGCCTTCCAACGCCACTTCTCCGAGTGGCGCCACGCCCATGGCATGCGATGTCTGGGGATCCCAAATACCGCACACTTCGCTCATGTGACCAAAATCGAGGACGCTCTAGCTCTGTGGCAACGCATTCGAACCACAAAGGAGGCCGAAAGGTGGAAACCGGAGGTGGAGGAGGAGATGGAGGACTACGCCGGCAACGTAGTCACCCGGAAAACCTATGAGGATCTCAAGAGACAGGGCCTCCTCTAAAGTTCCCACCACCCTCCCTCATCAGTGTTTCATACGCCTGCTTGTTGTATTAAATGAGTAAACTTTTTACTATTGAAGCTGTTTTCAAAGCGCTTGCTTGTGTTGATACCTGAACAGCCAAGATCCGGTCTTCGTTTACCATCCTCTAGATTATTATGTGTAGTTAGGGTTTTCTCCACTTATATTCAATCAGGGATTTGATAATCTGCCCTACCAAACTCGAATTCTGAGAATTACTCTGTGCTAGTAATGTTGTTTTAACGGACTGTTCTAACCGGGCATTCGTCGAATCGTACGTCAGTAGGTTATGGGGAGCGTATTTGTTTTAACTGAGTTATGGTATAAAATTTTTTCTGGTAACGCCAACCATGAAGGTGGATCTAACTTGGTATGAATCCATGCCGTGTAAAGTTAGATCTGGTCGTGATAAAATTTTTGGCCCTATGGTTAAATATAAACAAATCCGGTGACTTTTATACTTGTCGAATAGTACCTAGTATTTGTCTCAAGCAAATCTCTGTTAGGTACCTATTATTGGTGTCTCTAAAAAATGTGCACGATCTTGTCATACTGAGTACCAACCGTACCTGTACAGCCACTCATTTTCACTGATTTCCGTTTTATCCTTTCAAAATGACTCACTGTTTCTCCCCTATAAACTGTGCCCCGTCTTCTTTCTCTTGCCTTTAACAACTTTCGTAGCCCCCACAATGGAGCCCAGTAGTCAGCCCTCGGTTACCCGCGATCTCACCAAGCCGGCCTCAGGTACATCTCTTTTTATGGGCAAGTAACGCTTCTCCTGTAGGCGAAGAAATCGCCCGTGGGGATACTGAAAGCGATGAGCAAGTAACCTTTAAAGAACCACTGCAGTTGCCAGCAGTTGCTCAAAATCAGGTCACAAAGTCTTCCGACCAGTCAATTACCAGCTCTTCTACTAAAACGCAACCTGAAAATCAACATGTGCCAGTGGAAGTGAGCGACACAACAAACTCCGATTTCAAAGGGCCAGATGAAGTCAATGCATCCAATAAAGTCTTGGTACGTTTATTGTCTAAGGGCTTATTTAATCCGGTATCAACATTTCCGAATCGGTAATAACTTAATCTAATCAGAATCCACTTCATGATGCTTGTTCAATCAGAAGCCACTCAAGTCTAGATTTCGCTGGTTTTTAGCTCTGGTCTGCTAACGCGTAACCACACGATACTCGTTCAAATGGTATATTTCGTTTACCCTTCTATTTTAGCATTCACTCTCGATGTTCTTTGTTTCGATGTTACAGAGGGACTCTAGCGCAGGAGGCGACTACTACAACCCGCCCAGTTGGGCACTACCCTGTCCCGAGAAAGATCAATACTTTATTGAGGTGATTAAGAACGGAACTTCACTTCCAGACGACACGGTGGTCCTGTCGGGTGCCGATCACTGCGTCTTTGGTCGGCAGCCGAGGGGCAGCCTTAACCCAGAGTCGAAGACGGGCAAGTGTTCGGTGATGTTGCATCCTTCCATAAGCCGAGTTCACGCTCTCCTCCAATACGGAACTGGCCCCGACGATCAGCCTCCCGGTTGGTTCATTTACGACCTCCAAAGCACTCATGGGACTTTCGTAAACAAGGTAATTAAACGCTCATCTATGCTTTTTTCCTGGGTATGGGAAAAATTGGCACTACTCACACTTCTCCCAGAGCTTTCTCCTAATCGATTTATTTCGGATCATAACCTGATAAATACTTTGTCCTGATCACTAGTGTTCACCATAGGCGTTATTCTAACAGCACAAATGCAGGTTCAAGAAGCCTTTTGTCTGTAGTCCACTCCTAACTCGAGTCTTACAGAGATTTTCTAGTAACTGGCTAACCTAAGTGGTCCTGCACATAAGTTAGTGGCTAGCTTTATCATTCGATTCTGCATATTTTATCCTTGCCTGTTTGTACCATGTATTCCATTCATTCACCTGAACGTTGACCATATAAGTAAAATGGGTGAGGTTGTAGAATTATCTACTTCTTCATTAAACTCCGTTGTTTCCGTTTTTTGAGCATCGGGCACTCCCACGTCGATACATCCGTTTGCATGTTGGCTACGTGCTGCGGTTCGGTAGCAGTACGCGTCTTCTGGTTCTCCATGGTCCCGATCATGACGTCGAACCGGAGACCAAGGAATCCTGGAGTGAATTGGTCGCCGCCCACGCCAAAAGAAAAGCAGAACAGGAAGCAAAGCTAAGAAACCTTGAAGATGAGGAAAGAGAAGGCAAAAGACAGCGTCGAATTGGTGATGAAACAACTAGTGCTGGTGGTGAATGCGACTGGGGGATCGCTGGTGGGTCATTTACTGCCATGGCCGATTCGCTAGTCGCTTGCTTGCCTCTACGCGCAGGTTTTTTTGTCTAGAGGATGCTAACGACGAAGACGGTAGCGAGAACCTACTGCAGCGGTTAGCCGATGAAGGCTCCTGTTTGCACCATGAAAAATTGTACATTGAAGATCCGAAAAAGGCACTGAAGTCTTATTTCGACCGGGAGGGTATTGACCCGCCTCCGGAATACGACTTTGTTGAAGGGCGTTTCGGCCAGCAGATGTGCAGACTCGAGTACGTTCTGATTATTGTTCGTATTGGGTCTTTGTTTAAAACTTGGAGAGCTGTAGAGTATCGGTGTCTCGTTAATTCATCTCATCGCCTTAATTCCATCCTAACCACACCCTTCCTGAAAAATTTAACCCCCGTCTATTTGAGTTTCATTACATCGAGTTCTTTCCTAAACATTTTGGTTCGCGAAAGTCCATCAATTTGCCCCCTACTTTTCGTCCGGCCGGTTGTGATCACGTGATTTGGTTTTCAGCCTAGGATCATGCTGTAAATAGTCCCCACAAGCGCTGCCCTCATTTCGGTTTGCTCGCCCGGCTAAAGTTTGCCTTTCTGTTTTTAAGACTTCCGTTGGACTCTGGCACCGTATATGCCGAAGTTCCAGTGACGGGGCGGAAGCGAAAGGAGGCCATTGTGGCCTGCGCTCTGGAAGCCTGTCACATGCTTGACCGCCTGGGTGAATTCGACGCTAACAAAGGTGTGCTTGCCTTTTAACTCATACCCGGCGCCCTCTAAGCGCTGCGATAGTACTTTTGCTAAACTTCACAACTAAAATTCTGCGTCGTCGACTTCTGCTCAAACTTCATGCGCCTTCGGATGATCGTCTTTGAATTTCCCCCTAGGTCTGAGTTCTTTTTTATCCATTCCTAGAAGGAGCTGAGGCCTTAAGACGTGCCCGAGAGAAGGAGTACTGGCAAGCGAACGACTGCTATTCATCAGACGAGGACAACTTTTTGGATCGAACTGGACAGGTTGAGGCTCGGCGACGAAGGCGGATGAGAAAACTGGGCGTCGAGGTAACGGACACCGAGGAAGACAGGGCCGCCGAAACCCCCTCTGAAGAGGCACAGGACTCCCTCACCATGGTGGGCTCAGCACACACGCACTAACACCACTCGTCTTTTCTTATCCCTAATTATGCACGGGAAATTCGGCAAACTAAAATAATCGCCCCAAATTTTGTGATTGGTGGACCACTTTGGTTGAGGTCGTGAAGAGTGGCGGCTGCAAATTATGGGGGATAATGCCATTCCCTCGTCGAGCTAAACTCAAGTTCTTTTATATCTGCGGTCTAGTTTTACCGCAAAATCGCCTTGCCTCCCATGTCGTAGCAGAAATCATTTAATCGAGTGACTATCTAGTTGCATGGTAAGTATAATGTCCACACTGGTAATTTAACTAATGTGATGTTACCTGTTGTAGGTGTTATCTACCCTAGTGCCAAGAAGACCCTCAGGCTTTTGTTTTTTTGCCTTCCAAATTTTAATTTTGCTGTTATTTTTTTCTATTGCCTGGTTTACAAGCTTACAACCGCCCTAACTAAGATAGTTATATAGTGTGAGGCATCTTCAGCGTCAGCAAATAACCTTTGACCCTTGTAGCTTGGAGCCATTGCTTTATTTTGTGAACCACAAGGCTGTTTTGTTATTGTTCATTAATCTGGCTTTTCAGCTTTCGAATCTTGAAAAAATAGGAAAGGCGATTATCGAGGTGGAAGAGGAATTGCATGCTGCCGAGCGAGGTAAGCACCGTCCAAATTTTATGGATTTGCCCATATTCATGGTATGTTGTGTCCCCGATTGACTGTGCCGACTTGACTATTTCCTCTTGTCGTGCTCTACGCCCCATAGTCTTAAGTTTCTCTAGAATAAACTGCATCATAACCTACATATCCGCCGATCCATTGCATTTTTAGTAGCTTTGAATGTAATGTAGTGTTTTAAACTCCGTATTTCATTGTAGCTATGGAAGCAACCGGTGAAAATGCCAGTGAAATGGACGAACTTGAGGCCTATATGGATGCCATTAAAAAAGGTCTGTAAACCCCCTTTGTGGCCTCTGCTTGTATTGCGTCTTGTGTATTTTTGGGTTAATTTGTAATGCCAACTCCCTTCTGTGCCGAATAATTTGCTGGTTGTGCCAGGTTAACCCCAATCAGTTGTTACAGTTTGTCCCAACGCCCGTATTTCCTTTTTCAAACTATTATAGACAGCCCACTGCAGCAAAAATAAGTAAAGAATTGCATTATCCCTCCCCGTTGACATTGCCCCCCACCTCTTTTTCCTTGTGCCAGGCGCGCCGAATCGAGCAGCTCGACAGGCACTGAAACGTCGTCTCTTTGCCCTCCGTCAGGACGAGACTCGACTCCTATGCAAGCTCGGCATTCGCAGGGGTACAGGCCGATTTTGTTCTTCTTCCTCATCAGCCGCGGCCAATGCCATTCGTTCTGCTCTAGCAAACAAAGACAACTCCATCGATGGCACGTATGTCACATAAGTCTTCCCAATTTATGATATCTTTTCACTAGTTTTTAATGCGTTCAACTATAACTTTCGCCTTGTCTAGTGCATCTGTAGTTGGCGTCGAACACGCGCGCAGCGAGACCAAGTTAAACTCAATTAAAAGACAACTAGTAAAGGTAATTCGGGTTATTCCAACGCTTACTATACCAAAAACCTCTTTTACCTGCTAAGTGATTTCTGTGTTATGTATTTTTTCGTTACCCGGTAGCCTACTCACCGATCCCGTCCAAGTGCAATAGAAGACATGGAAAATGGGGTCTTTGTACCAGAGGTTGAAGATGAGGATGACAACGACGAGACGGGGAAATGCAGTTCGAATGGCTCTGCAGAACAAACTGGCGAATCTAAATCACTTCCAACGCCTACTGCTCTTAACACCGAAACGCGTAAGAAGGCACTGTTTGTTAACGTCCTTTTGGTGAAGTCTCGAATATTGATCTGTACCGATTCGATGAGGCCTCTTTGGGCCCGATTATATCCAAAATTAGGAACCATTTGTTCTTTTTCACATTGACCTAATTTCCTAGTTGATAGTGTGGCAAGAAACTTAATGTTTTAAATTACTTTAACGGTACCATAGCTTACCTGCTATTGCCTGTTTGTCGGGTTTTTCAGTTGAGGCTGAGAAGTCGGAAACCAACTCTCCTGCTCTGCCTCACACAGATGACACTGGCAACGTATTTCCTACAAGAATTCCATCAACTGTCCCACTTGAAGGTGCTAACGCGGTTAGTCTCCTGGTTTAAATGTTATCAATTAGACCACCTCTCGTAACAGATCTCTGACTTGCATGTGGGAGGGAGAAAAAAATCCGGACAATCACGATTTGATATTTATTTGTATAAAAATATGCCTATTATGTACACGATGATTCAAAACCTTCAGTTTTCCCCTTGTTAAACAAATCGAATTTATTGGACGTGTTCAGTGATGTTCTTGAGAATGTTTGGGTCTCTGCATTTTTCATTTTGTTATTCCAATTGAAGTAATCGCAACATAGCTTAAGACCTGTCATGTAACATTGGTATTTGTACTGATATTTGGCCCAAATTATGTCCAGCACAACTTGTGTATCGTATTATTTGTTTCCTTTATGCGCTTTTGCAGTTGAGTATTTAAAAAAAATTAATCGGTGATGACACGGTGTGAATATGCTAGTTCCGATCTATTTCGTTTACTAAGGCACCCGAATCGCCCAGCAGTCTTGAAACATCCACCACGGAGGTTGAAGAGTCAAAGGACCTCTCCATTCGCTCAAGTCCTCCTCCTCCTCCTACTGATCCACCGAAATCCCCTCCATCAAAATCCGCCCATTGCTCTTCCTGGGTAATTCGTCCTCTGTTCTTCGCCATACTTTTGCATTATCCTGAGGGCCCTCGTACTTTTTTACCAGCTAATACCAGTTGAGCGTTGTTACCTACTACATTTTGGCCACTTTTATTCACGAAATCTTGGTCTCAATCGACGATACGTTTGGTTATCTTGACATCTTCCTTTTGGAGAGTAAAACTTGCCTTCAGCATCATGTAGCTGTAGTGCAAGTCCATGTCAACCCTCCAAGTGCTATTTTCAAACTGGATATCAGGTTCACATTGTTGCAGAAAAGGTTTTAATCCAGAGCGGAACATCACAGCATCGTAATTTGTTCATGGCATTGCCGCACAGTTTGTTGTCATCTGTTTACCCATCGGATAATCCGAGTTCAATCTCCTTGTAGGATACCTCAAATGAACCGGAGGAATACGATGCAAATGATCCGGATTACTCCCTTTGGGTGCCCCCAAAAGGTATTTTACTTTTTCAGATCGCCTGACGCGTGTCATTGCTTTTTGAGGAAAGAGCAGAAATATTCTGTTAGTTTACGTTTGCAGTGTGGGTGTTAAATCATGCAAATTATTGTTTGTAAACCTACCCTACGTGTATTCGTCAGTCTATTAGAGGGTAAACCGGTCACGCGGATACTGTTGTTTGATCAGCTGCAAGCAATCCTGACAACGACTCAACTTTGCCATGGGTAGGAGTGAACCAATGGTGCGACTCGGCTGACAGTTCGGATAGGACATTAGAAATGGAGGTAGTCATTACACTTGTGAAATGCAAAGGTGCGCCTGTCAGCTGTCTGCAAAGTCAGGGTGGCAAGCTGTAATTATGTGAAAACAGTTGTTCTCTAGGTTAGCAACACGTCGACAATTATCTAGGCAGTGGAATTCTGACTGAGGATGTTAGTTACATAAGTACCGATTCACATTGTGCTAGAAGATTTGAAATGTGTTTCTCGGACCGATTGGCAACTACTGAAACTCGGAAACATCCAGCAGCTCGATGATGGCAGCCTTCGGTTGAACTCCTAGGGGCACTGTGCTAGGTGGAATGGCCTCTTCAGAACGTTTGTCAAACTGAGACCCTCCTGTGGGTATATCGATGATTTACCACAAGCGTTGTCTGGCTATCTGCTACTATTTTCTAAAAGCAGTGTTTGTTTGAAGTATTTGCTTATGGACTTCGTAAACTGCAATCAACAAATCACCAGATCAAGGAATGGTAGTCTTGAGAGCATGTCATTATTTGGGAAGGGACAAGATCTCGCTAATGACTCTTTCTTTTTTCAGATCAAACTGGTGATGGCATGACGGAACTTAATAAGAAGTATGGCTACTGAGAATTGCAGAACATTCATTTCCCACTCTTGCATAAATCCTTCATTCTTTTTTATTGTGTATATATTTGTCACCTTAAGGCCGTTTCAGTTGTGGTATTTGGTTGGGACAGCAGGCAATCACTGTCAGTCGTGCTGCCGCCATTTAAAAAAATTTAATTAAGTTTTATGTGTGACAAGATTGGTGCTCTCATCGCTGAGTCCCATTTTCAGGTTATTTCGAAGTGACATTAACTGTCATTTTATCCAAAAAAAACACTTTGAACGTACTTTTTTAGTTAGTTACTTCAGCACCAGTAACTGACCTATCAATAGGTTCGATATGATGTGTGGACTCGACGCTTTTTTGTACCCTGTATAGTGTGGCACAGTCGATTTCCAGACAGTCCTTGCATCGGGTTCTTTCTGTTTAGATTGGAGGGGTTTCTGATGTTAACTGGTAGATATTTTCAGATTCCTTGCTTAAATCAAAGGTTTAGAGACACAACACCTGTGCAGGCGCATAAATGTATGTAGCTATTGTTATTCGTAACTATTGTAGTAGTGATACTAAATGTTATTAAAGAGCAGAGGGGAATTCGTTCTGATCGTTTGCGTTTTATGAAGTTTGGGGTCTCGGCGTTCTTGTCGTCCCGTGTTTAAGCTTTTCAGGATCATTCAGTCTCACTGTGGCTGTTTAAAACAGCTCCAGAATTACGTCGGGTGCGATCTTTTCCAATTTTGTTTATAAAAATTTTAACCCTTTTTGAATTTTGTATCAACTAAACTATTTCTCCTAAAGCATCTCAAACAAGTTTATTGAATCTGTTTTGTAAGGTCTTCAAATCCTAATGGAATTATATTCAATACCCAGTTTTACAACGTTGGTCGTAGATTTGTCTGCATTCATTATTTTGGGACCCAGCAAAAAAGTTTCTTGAGTGGTCTGATCTATTATTCCTCTTTCGTCAAAAGTTTACAAACACCTCTGCATTTGTTTTGGTTATTTCCTTCAAAAGTTTTTGATTTACTTCTGATGTTTGCGTACTTCTAAATTTATTGATTCTGACGCGTCGATTACAGTTATAGAAATTTTATCGTGGGTCATCGATCACAACTAGGCCCGTGGTTCAACCTGGACACAACACGGTAAAGAGAAAGAATGCCACAGATATCGCGAAGGCTAAATCTTTTCTTAGGGCATAAAAAGTGGTCAATTTATGTAAAAGACCTCAGTATAAATAAGACCTACTAAGATCAAATTGCTAAACTAAAGTCCCCACGATAGGTATAAGTATAAATCAAATGACTAAATTAGAAGGTAGGCTGTGCTGATAGCCATCGCAGACAGTGCTCAAAAGCTCAAAGAAGTTTGTGATTTTTTTCGTTGATCGGTTCTGATCCCAGAGGTTCCCCTACATAAAGGGTAGTGTATAGTTTTAAGTTATAATTCTACGGGGTATATGTACATGTGATTACTTGCTCAGATTTGTGCGCACTCTAGTACGGAAAATGAAAAGAGTGTACACAGATACCATTGCGGGCAAAGCATGAACCCTAATATCAGTTGGGACATTTTGGCCTCGAAATCATTACAGGCAATCGATAATAGGCTGCGCACTCTGGTTTCGTTTTAACGCGAAATCTGCAGTTCGATAATCGAAAAAATTACAATAAATCCAATAATTTAATATTTAAGTTTTTTTCAGGTAGAATATTTAAAACATTACACTTCGTATCTTAGTTTTTGTCCTACAATTAAATGGATTATGATTGCAATTTAACTTAATTCTAATTATTAAAATGAATAACATTCTTTTTGTCTTTTGGACTAGGTTAAGAAGTGGATTATACTGACCTTCAGTTGCTATGGCATTGGCTGCTTTTTTGGTCTGCTTGGGCTAATTCGCCTTTCGGTCTTCTAATTCCTAAAGATCATGTCTATCGAGGAAAACGTTGCTGAATATGAAGAGATCAATGAAGATGCTGTTCCTATTAAACCTCTTGTATGGTAGTGCGTCTATATTTACTAATGTAAGGTTATTGTTGACAAGCCGTTGACTCCAGAAATCGCAGCAAAGTCATTATCTCTCCTGTCGAAAATAGGCTATGGGTTTTCCCATGCATTTATTAAATTTAAGTGTGTAAACAAGTAAGTGATGTGTACGATTTGTAGGTTGTGTTGGTTTAGTTGTCCTTTTTCGGACTTTGTGGGCTCATTTACATTGATAGCCGGTCAATCGAGTTAGATCTGTTGGAACAGTTTGTTTCACTTGCAGTCACATTCGTTTCTTTTGAATTTAGTTGAATTGCGATCCTTACGTCATATTTTAAATTCAGTTGTTTTATCTAGTCAAAGTTCGATTAAATTAAGACGTTTTCCGATGTTTGAATGTGTTACTTGAGGAACCATGTAATAATTTTTGCTTTAGCCTGGATACGCGTATATGTAGCCCACACTTCTCACCATTGCAAATTATTATGTGAAAAAAGGTCTGTTTGTTGTGAATACTTCGCGTTAAGATTGTGCTTAGATCATCGACCGTTTATTATTGCACTTAATCAGTAAATATATGTAATTGAATGCAGTCACAAATATGTGAGACTACACGATTCCCCTGTTGTAGAATTAGGTAAATCTCTTCCTCTTATACAATACTTTTTGTAACCGACGACTAATATATGCATATTAAGTGCTAACTGTGTAGATTACATTCGAGTATACGTTCTTACATCAGACCACCTACTCCGTTTTCGTTCTGAACACTTTTAGATTATTCCCGGGTTTTAATTTTGTTATCGTCGTTTTTGCTTACGAACTGTATTATATCAATACGTCAAATAATTCTGGGGCTACAATTTTGGGTATGACCTACAACTCCTACCACAATTTATATTACATTCAAAGGAAATTCTTAACTAAATGTTAACCCATCTTTTTTACTTTAATTCTTAAATCGTAAGTGCTGGTGAATCTTACTTGGCTGGTACAATTTAGAACTTCAAAATAACAGCTATCTTTCATAATAAAATGCCTTTTTAAGAATCATTAATAAATAATAACAATATTTTAGTGTTTTAGACACTTTAAGCACTGCGACTTATAAAAGCAGTAACCAAATGCTGCTGGCTGCTCGTATATGTCAATTCTTTGCTGTTTTGCTTTTATTCTGCTAGCGTTAATATAAATGCCACCCAAATAAATTGATCAGTAGCTTTTAGTCCCTGAATATTTTATAACTAAAACGTTTTCCTCTAAAAAATCTGTTATATTGCAATAAACGTCTGAAAATAGATACGCTTGATTTGATAGATGGCAAAACAAGGTTTATTGCGTGAACAGAAAAGGCATAAATATTATATCCACAAATATCAAAGACGCGGTTTTAGCTGTCTTGGGTAAAGCTGGATTCCCCAACTGGAGTATTTGACGTAGCTAAATTGATTGAAATTTTAATTGTATTTGCTCCATATAACACGTTTAAAATGAAGTATTTAATCCTATGACGGAAAATTATTTGTCTTCTAGAGTTTCGTTAAATAATTTTCACCATAATAGTGAATATTAGCAGGCTGTCTTTGCGTTTCCTCTAAACACCAGATCTCTTTGGTCTTGAAGCACCTTGTTTCTTATGTAACACTCTTAAATACGTCCCAATCCAGTTTGTTTGACTAGTAGTGGTAAAATTATACCTTGTCACTAAGTCATGTTGATTCTTAATGCAAACGTTTATAAGCCTGGGAAGTGATTAAGGTGTCTCAATGGGTATTAATGTGTCTGGATCCAATTTTGCAAACATCTTTTCAACAGGGCAATTACTGATATCGCCATATTGGTACAATTTCCCTTTCTACGCTTTGTGACGCTGAGTGGAAACTACATATCAGATTTGTCGCCGCTATCAGCTGCCGAATACCTCATGTATCTCAAATCGGACCACAATCAAATACTCCAAGCTGGTTCTCTGAAGACCCTTAACTATCTTCAATACTTTGACCTATCGCATAACAAAGTAGCCTCCACCGATTATATTAATCATGGGCGTTTGAAACATCTCATTCTAAATTGTGAGTTTTCTAACCACTGGCGCGTTTTCCAGTCCTTGAATATTTCAAACTTTTATGTCGGATTCCACACAATAGCAATGTTTTTTAGATAGTTCTATTTAGCAAAATAGGACACATTAGCACTTTTGTCAAAAAGGTTTTTTTAAATTTTCTAAGTTTATTTTTACTGAAATAGTGGTCTTAGCAACAGATGCTGACAGTTCCACTTCATTTATTTCCGTTGCAGTTTTGTGTATCATTTGAGGTTTTCAAGTTGCCTTCTGAGTACTTTAGAATAGGTTATTCAATCAAACGAATAGCGACAAAACATTATGCATTGGATTGATGTGCATCCTCGCATGTAAATACTTTTTGTCTTATTTGAAATTTTCCGCATTACTTTCGCAGACAATGAAATCAGCACTCTAAAGGGTGTGAACGGTCCACCACTAAATCAGTTCAAACTTCGATCGCTAGAAACACTAGAAATTCGAGGAAATCAAATTGAATCCACGGAGGGCCTTGGCTTCCTACATGACCTTAAGACTCTATACTTTGGAGAAAATCTGCTTAAATCTGTCGAGGACATATCTGGTCTGCGTGGCCTTGTGCGACTCCACCTCCGCGACAACCACATTGCAACCTTGGATGGATTCCTTCAAGGACCGACAAAGCTGGAGTACTTAAACCTCAGGTGTGTTGAGACTTCTTCCTCAAATTGCTACTTTCTGGCTTTTAGGATTACTTTTCTTCGTTATATGCTTGCTCAAACTCTTATACAACAGTCAGATTTCGCATTGTGGTCTGGTTGATGGCTTGTTCCGAGTCTGGTGTGCATTTTACCAATGGAATGTCAAGATTTCAACTTTCCTAGACCTATTGTGTTGATACTGGCTAAGCTATTTGTCTTGTTTACTAAGAAACATTTAACAGGCGACGCCTAGCATGGTAATCTGTCAGCGACTACCTACTGAAATTGGAAGTCCAGTTGACATTTCGTGGGTTGCAAGAACATTAGTTTCTTTTAAAATCTTGATCAGTAGTAATATTAGACGTATGCGGACATAAGTTTACCAGGTTTTAATAACGTCCATTTGATCATGTCAAATCTTGGTGTTGGGACTCCGGGAAGTGAGGCTTTTGCAATAAAAATGAATTACAGTCCTTAGTTAAAGCAAGGGAGCAAAGATGTGTTCAGAATGGAGGTCAATGGCAAGCGTTTTGTGCGCGTTTTAGTAATCCGTTCAGCTTTCCGCCTTTTACTTTGAGCACCATGCACATGTGCCTTGTTCTCATCGGTTTTAAGGTTCTGCAAATTATTTATTTCGTTCTCCAAATTTTGCAATATTTTAGAGGAAATAAAATAAATCGCTGGAGTGAAGTTAAGAAATTGAAGTCCTTGGTCACCTTAAAAGTCCTAGTTCTCAGTGGTACGTTTGCCTTCTGTTAAAATTGAGTAAAATTATTGTGCCAGTTAGTTGTACCCTTGGTCAATGGCGGTTCCATTGGACGATTCTGTGAATAATTGATGGATTATTCAAGAGCTTCTACTGATTGGTCCGAGTTCTCCACTGCCAATGACTAAATTGATCCTTGTTAGTAAATTGATGGTTTCTCTTCTTTGTGCTTTCAATTTGAAAAACGAATGGCAGCTTCGTAATGTATCTTGCTGTCTGTCACCTACACGTATCTCGACAGTTAGTCGTGTTTTAATATCGGCCACATCATTGTATTTCCGAATTTGTTTCAAAATCCATGGAAAGGCCAAAGGCTTATTTTTCCCCTATTTACTTTATAATCAAGGAGATTCTGCTGATTTATCAGGGATTTTCCTGTTTTTTTACTTTCATAAATTTTGTGGAATCCCATCTACCGTAATTGAGATAGGTCTTGGTGCAATTTCTAAACTCAATAAAAATACTGAATTGATTGTATTTGGTTATTGATCTGTCTTCCCCTTCACATCCTTCTTAGGACACAAATCCTCGTACAATCTCAAAGACTGACCTTTAAAACTCCAAAAATTAAGTAATCTACTTTTGAGGTAGGAAAACCTTTAAATGTGCCTTGGTATGGCCACTTTGACACGGTTGCAAAGCTTCGTCATGCCCTCGACGAAATGATTTAAACATTTCCGACAAATCTTCTTGATCACTTGTTTGCTATTTTTCCTAATAACCATGAGTGTAACACTCCTTTATTTGAAATATTATTTTTTACTAATGGTTTTTCTTCATAAATAAGAAGGAAATGATTCAATGACCTTTTTGGAAAGCCCTTATGTAGCAACATCTCTCAGACTTCAATCCATCATCCTTGCTCTGTATGATTTCACTAATATGAGATCAAAACACATTTAACCTTCAGTCTTTAGGTAAGTCTTCAAATTGGTTCCTAATCGCCTTGTTACTAAAGTGACTTCAAGTTTTGTCTGTCTGAGAGCGCCGTAATCGAAAAAGAACCTCGTTGATGGCCGTACTAGGCCGATTTTTCGCCAATTTTTCACTTTTTATAGTTGAAATTTAGACCGATTGTGATTCATGCGTTTTATGATATAGGTTTGCTTTAATTGCTCCATCGAGCTCACGTATGTGCGTTCGTTTGCACAAATTTGCGTTCCATGAAAGTCGAGTCAGTGTTAAAGTGGTGAGGTTGGTTTTGTATTTGTCTTGAATTTATGATGTTAGCGCTCAGCTTTACGAACATTCTTAATTTCTTGTGACCTCAATTTTTCACCCTAAATAGTACCTACAAATATCTAAAATTTCCGTTAAAGCCTTGTAACACTATAAAAACGAATCTGTATATCAACGTATGGCTTCAAAATTATCAGAACTCAGAGCAGTCTAACAGGTGGATTCTTGCATCTGCTCGCGCATTCCCAACTCTCGTTCTAGGACGTAGAAGCTCTTTTTATCATTGCGCGAAAATCTGAACCGCTGTGCACTTAAAATGTCTCGTGAGTTGTGTGACCAGTCAAACAAATAGTACCCATCCTTTTTATTGCAGATAATCCTATCGCTGATCGGGACTTGTATCGACCGGTAGTATTGGGAATGATGCCATTTCTAACGCGACTAGATAAAGATAAAACTACGGAGGAAGAAATCGCCGAGGCGGTAGATTTCTACGTAAAACTGGTATGATTTAATGTGGCAAATAAGATCAACAAATGTATTCCTACGGATGAGTCAGCCGTTTCGTTTCTGTTAAATGAAAACTAGGAGAATGCATTAAGGTTCCTCGAAGAAAGTCGTGTGAAGTGCCCTTAAATTAGTCATTAGTTTATTTTAAATTGCCACACAAGTAACCCCTGGCACGAATAGTAAAACTACCAACTCTCCAAACCGTATGTTTACTTTGCCAATCGATCTTCAAACCAGCAAAAGTAAGGAACAGCCAAAATCATAGCTGTAGCATTGAAATTGCCGGAACATAAATCGTTATATCAGGCTCTCCATGTCGGTCATAAGAGATGTCCATTTCCCTAATGACTACTAGTTTTGCTATATAAAAAAGGTTTCTCACCGTGTTTTATAACGACCAAAGGCTTCAATAATATTTCGGAGCTGGATTTCTAAGTAGACTTCGGCGAATAGTTTCCTTTGCACTTTTTTGCTTAACAGCTTTTTTTAAAACTAACAAACCCTTTTCATTTTCAACAAATTTGAGCAGTACGTAATGAATTTTAAATGTGGCGTAAGTTACGTTAAATCAGGTCAATTAATAGTTTTTTCAAAAAAATAGGAAATTGAACCAACCTGGCCCGCAAACTAAACAGAGAAGATTCCTAATGTAGTGTCCTGTGTTGAATCAGTATCGCGATTGAAAAAAAATAACTGTAGCCATTTATTAAAATCGAGGTCTAGCAGAAATTAGGATAACGACCAACAAAACCCAGGTCAGTGGTCAGTAAGAGTAGTTGCTTGCTCATGATGGTACCGTTTTTACCTTTTAACATTTGACAATGTGTGCTAAGTGCCTACGAATTCTGTTATGTGAAATTTAGATTAAATGTATGCATGGTCTTGGTTTGCTTTGTTTTGATCCCACATGACAATTTGCCAATCTAGAATGCGATATGTTGGTTAGAAGAAGTAATATCTATCAAATTGAATGCACTCGCAAACCTAGCCTGAAAACGCACTGGAGTTGGAAGACGAGGAGGAGGCACGTTTGCATGAGCATCTGGCCGAAACAAAGTTAGAAGATGGCGGGGAGGTGGAAGGTGAAAACACCGGTGTCGAGGCTACCCCTCGCCAAAATTCTGAAGGAGCCGAAGAAAATGAGGTAAACTTTTAGCCCATTTTATCGACTATATCAATGCGCATAGTTATTTCAATGTATTTGTGCTAAAGTTAACTCAGTCCCTGTAACCTATTCAGTTTTAATTTAAGCCCTTGACATTTGTTTAGTAAAAGTAGATTAATTAATCCGAACAAATTGTAGTTTTGTTCATGCATCTTAATTTATGGCATTTTTACAAAACCATGGCCAGTTTGCTGGTTTGTGTTAACACCATTTTAACGTCTGGAGAATTATTTCTTTTGGGTTATTCGTACGCCTTTTAAATGAGTTTTGACCGCAACCATTATATGTCATGTTTACTTGTTATATATTGAGCCAATTCCAATAAAGAGTACTTCAAGATGTAGAAAAATTGATATGTATCAATTTTGCATCATGCTGTTATCATATGGGCCTCAAGTTCACTCATAATGACTAGGATCAAGTAGGCCGCGGGATCGAGTTATTTGTTATGAATTCCTGTATTTAAGTCCTAGATGTTTTTGAATCAAGTAGCCCTAAATTTGTTGGATATCTTCCAATACGGGAATTCGAATGTTCCACAGAAATTAATTCAAAGTTTAACTGTATGCTTTCTTACATTTGTAGGAAGAAGATTAGATTGCATAATTCATCAATTTAAACTCACCTTCCTTATGTCCACATATAAATAAATGATAAATTTGCCTAAAACTTTGCCTTTTGTACATCCTAAATTTGTTTATTAAATACACCATTCGCTTTTTGCTTTTGCAGCAAAGTGATAACACGGTAACTTTCAACTGTTATCCTCCCGACCAGACCGTCTGCATAAATCTAATGTCACTCACAATCGAGCAACAAAGCTGTCTCTTAGTTAGTCCTTTAGTCTTTATAAAGCTTAATGATATCTTTAAACTTTTCAGTTCAGGTCGGGTTTCGCACATTCCTGTGAATGTCCATTAAAATCCAGTGATACACTAAAAAGAACATCTAAATGCACTATCAAAAACATCCCATCTGTTTCGATTACTAAAAGAATTTTTGCTGCATTGTCAAATGATCTGCTGAAAACATGTGCATGTAACAGGAACGGATGCTTCTATGTGCAATTTATCCACTTTTATATCGTTTGTAATGACTAATAAAATTGGGTAGAATTCTGTAACGAAACACAATGGAAAAAACAACTATAAATTTTGAAAAAACCAACCCTTTGTAGTTTATCATTCAGTGTAAAGGAAATGTTTGAATTATATAAAAACGGAACATAAGCAAAATTTGAAAATGTTTGACAAGAAAGGTGAGGTGCATAGACACCAACGTAGTGGAGTATCGTAAAGAAGCTATGGTCTCTATTGTGCACTCAAATATTATCCTTATTGGAAACAACTTAATAAATTTTGCAGGTTTATGGACAAGCCAATACTTTAAATAAACAGTGGTCTTCAAAGAGAATGACACTTAGGCAGACAAAGTTTTTGGCCATTTACCGATGAGAAGACGGAAGAGAAATTTATGTTATGCCAATCCACCTGCTACCTTTAAATCAGGAAACCCAACATAGAACTGCCATCTTAAACAATTCATCTGCGTTTAAATAAAATCAGTTCAAACTTGGTTATCGTTTTTCCTCGCTGAGGTGACCTGAAATGTACAATTCGTAGAATCAGTTAATCAAAGTCAAGCAACCTCTAACTACTGTCATCCAAAGTTTTCATTAATTAAGTTTATTATCAACAAAATTAATAATTACAAAGGTACTTTCAGTTAATATCGCATTTTTAGGAGTCTGAAACCAAAAAGACTACATTTTAGATAATAATAGATGAAATGTTGTAATGTGTAAGTAGATTGAAAAAATAGGTATGAATAAAGTTTAAGAATTACTGTGAAAATGAATTATGATGGCCAAATAAAACAGATTAGCTGACATTTGAAAGTATTTAATTTGATTCGTATCTAGCTTTATTGCAGTTGGTGTGTGCCAAATGTTGCTTAACTATTAACCTCCGTCTCTGAGGGCCTTTTTATTAATTGACAGCATGTAAAGTCATTTGAAGCAGCAACTTTGAATGAAAAGGAGCAGATTTCCTCAAAATATATTCTACATACAGTGACCCGGTCTGAAATATGTATTTATTTGCCTGGAGACTGCACCATGCATCCTAATTATTTAAGCAATACTATGCAACATTTTTAAAGAAAAATCGATAACCAGTGCATTGCCTGGACACTTTTTAATGTTTTGTCACATTTTTTGACTAGTGCTAATGCTCTCAACAGTTGTTTATATACTTCAAGTGAAGGCGGGCTTACAATTCTCATTGAGGTTCATTTTCAGCCAACGTATGTTTTAGTGTTTTCGCTTGGCGACATTCTCATTGGTATTTCCCCTTTCTAAAGTTTAGCCTTAGTTCTATTGGAAGATATTATTTCAAAAATAGTTCTAAGAACATGCTAGTACACTTGATGGTCCTCGCTACCATCCTTCTACCCCTAGATCTTCATGCAACTTAGCTGATTACAAGGATATTTGGTTTTGTGCTCTTTTAACCTGTTTCAGTCTATCGTATATAGTACATTTTTCTAGTTTGCTTTATTCAAGCTTTTATATTTATAAAATATTCAGGTTTTGTCTTTTAATTATGTTTCATACCTTATGCGATGTAATTTCGTGTGCAAGGGCTGTTGCTTCTAAAGCGTAAAGCACATTAAGTAGCTAAAAAAATTATAAGTGGTGTTGAGTTGGTAACTAGGTAGTTATGCAGCAACGTGATTCCGACCGCTAATGTATTGCTTCCCCCTGTTTGTTGTAGATGTCAATTCATTTCCTAACCCGCGGTCAGTTCGTTTCGGCTTCTTACAAAAGCGAGGACTGTTATTTTACCGTCAATGGACGGCTAATAACCACGCTCGAAGATCTTCCAGCGGGCGATGGATACGTCATCCAAGTTCATCATCGCCTACGCGGTGGAAAGGGTGGTTTCGGTTCAATGTTGCGGGCAATTGGTAATCAGATTGAAAAGACTAATAACCATGATATGTGTCGCGACCTCTCTGGACGACGCATGCGTGATGTAAATGCAGAGGAAAAATTGAAAGAATGGTATGCGAAGGCTGGGGAAAGAGAGAGAGCCAAGGTAGATCGTTACTTGGAAAAACAGCGACGTCGTCGAGAAGCCCTTGAAAAGGGCCCCCTCCATGACCATAAATTTGACGATCCTGAATTTGCTCGGCGGAAGGAACGTATCTCGACTCAGTTACGCGACGCAGTTGAAGCGGCGCTGGAAAAGATCGTATCTGATGCAGGCCCTTCAGAACCTGCCAAAAAGAGGTCCAAATTGTGGATTGAGTGCCTAGACGAAGGTAAATCGTCCTCAAGTAGTGATAGCGATGATTGTGGTGGCCCTTCGTCTCTTTCTGACTCAGATAAGGATCAAGATGCAAATTCCGGTTCTTCAGAAAAACCTGAGTGTCCCGAAATTGGTAAGCGTATGTCACATATTTTCATGTACTTAAACTGCGGACGATGATATGTATTCATGTAATCGAAAGCACTGGCTAACTGGGTATCCTGACTAGTCTGTCGTAGGCAGTCTGCAACATATTTCTTTAAGCCGTCGTAATATGTCACTTGTTTACTTTGTTATTTCACTAATTTATTTTTATTGCGACTACAAGTTTTGTTGTGTCGATTAATTTGACGTTTGTGTCATAGTTAATTATGTTTTTAACCTGAAATTTGTCCTTTTCGTAGCTGCAACGGTCAAAGTTGATGTGCCAAAAAGTGGACAAGCGGAAAATGCTCCGCAAGGTCATCAAGAACACAAAATTGACAAGGACATTACAGAATTGACAAATCCAACATGCGTACCCTCCATCACCGATGAAGCACTTAATGCAGCTTCTTCATCTAAGGACCTAGAATCCTACGGTTTGGAGCGTTTAAAGCAGTCACTTGTAAATAGAGGACTAAAGTGTGGAGGAACATTATCGGAGCGTGCTGCAAGGCTTTTTTCGGTTAGAGGACTCGAACCGTCGCAATATCCCACGAAGATTATCGCTAAGTCTGTTAAGAAATAAATACATTTTATACACCGTAGGTTTCTGCGTTACCTATATTGATTAGTTGTTTAATTTACTATCGGCTAAAGACGTTAAGGCCATCGACTCTTATATCTCTACAACGAATGCAGCGCAAGGCATCTGGAGCCAATTACTTGATCTAAACCTAATTTCGCACGTATTTGTATCTCTTATTGCTAACCGACGCCATGTGTTTTGACGTTTCGTCAACACGCTGCTGCTTTGTTGCCTGAAATTCCGAAAAACAACTTTAGAGGACTTTTAGGAGAGAAATTGAGTGAAACTTATAAAATGTAATTGAGAAAAATTGGTTTGGGATCCATCGAGGGCATGTGAATGGCCGATAATCTGTAAATATTAACCAGTGGGCTGTAATTGGTGGCATCACGATAAAGGTACCTGCTGGAAGCCTAGAAAAGCGGGAATATATTGAAGTAACTTATTGACACTTAACAAACCAGTTGCTTAGTGTTAAGTGATGTTTCCCTTAAGCAGACGCAAGACTAGCTTAAGGTATCACAATTATTCATTCAGGTCAGTAGCTACGTATTAAGTAACCGAAGCGATGTTCAGCTATGATAGTATGGGCGATTCACTTGTATTAGATGTGCTAAAGTGGGATTTTATGGTTAAGCATATTTCAACTTCAACGGCGAATACGCATTAATTGATACACATACGAAGTTGTATGCTGTGGGTGTGAAATGGTACCTTTTGCTATACAAAGGGGTGGGATAAATCCGGAAAGTCACAGCCAAACTGTAAATCCAATTGAACGTCCAATGGATTGTGCAATGCTGACTCTAAGAGTTGCTTGGTTACTGATATAAAGATGCGTATCGCAAAGAATGAATCAGTGGAACTTGCCTGTAAGGCTGCGATCGGTTGGTGCATTTTAATTTATTTGAGTCTGATATTTCGTAAGATTTCTGCACAATCACAATGTGGAAAACTGAAGTGCCAGAACTGCCACATTTTATGCTAAATAACAGAGGGCATTGCAGCATAATTCGTTAAAAAAAATTGTCAGCACAATGTTTTAACATGTTTAGACAAGAACAAGTTTTCAAAAGAACAGGCAGAAATGTAAAAAAAAAATACAAAATTATTGAACTGGTGAGCTAACTACTCCTCAATCTCTAGTAAGTCAACAAGGTTGATACAGTCATCAGAATTGCAAGAATAGTCGTCTTCTCCATCATTTTCAAAATCACTGTCTGAGCAGAATAAGTCCTCCAAACGACTAGAGGGTAGGTATTTGGCATTTGCTTTACAAGGGTTTGGGTGGGTTGTAAAAATTGGCGACTGAGCAAGTCGTTTTGGGGGTGACCGATAACGAAGACGACAAGGATTTGGCAGTTTTGACGAATACTGGGCTGATTCCTGTAGGCGGACATTCGGTCGCCGTTGATAGCTACCAGAACATAAATGAATGATTTGCGATATTGAGTAATAGCTTGGGTCAGCTTAAAAATATTGTGATGCATATTTAAACTCTAACCATCCGTGTTATATTCGGTTACCCCAGCCTCAATTCCTACAATTATATATACCTAGTGTCCTCAGGGGCAAAATAAGTTCAATCAAGTTTATAACAGGTTACTAACCACGTATCTAGTTGGAGAGTTAAACAATCATAATGTATTATTAAGTTGTGGCAAAATATGGAGAGAAAAGAAAGAAAATGTTAATTTACTTGAATGCAGATTCTCTAGCCTCAGAACGGGTAGCAGTGCTGAATCCCTTGCGAAAGTTTATTGTAAAAAGTGGTGTCTTTCCTTCCGAATTATCGCCCTAAAGATATTGTCAACAGGAATGATATTTGGCGCTTATCATAGAAAATACGATAAGAAATTGAAAGCATTTTTTAATGTAAGATTTCGGGCGAAACTTTCCTATGTGAATTCCACAAGCTAGAGGACATGAAACCTGTGATTTGGTGTGTTCATATAAATTTCGCTGTCTGAGAGCATACTTGGTACTACTCAGATAAAACGAACGCTAATATATTGGCCAGGAAGACTGAAGGATAATATTACAAATACGGAAAACTAGTCTAACACTGCCAAAATAAAGGACGACCAACACTGATCCAGAACAACTCTAAAACACATCTCTAAAAATTAGGACAGGGATGTCAAAATGAGGAGAAGACTATTTCACTAAAGTGAACGATTATGACACCAGGAACTGATTTGGATGTAGTGTTGAATTTCATGCTTATTATACAACCATTCCTCATCTTGCCTTTTATTTACAATACAAAGAATCAATGAGTTTCAATCTTTAATGAAAATAGCCTATAGATACTTATGACAACCAAATGCGTAATGATGTTCAAGACAAAATACATTTACTATCTCTGGCAAAGGGAATATTCTATATTATAAGTACAAAAACGAACTTCAGAAGGATTAGGCAAAGGAATCGCGCATTACCTTTATAAATGCCGCATACTTCTTACTATGGGCTTGAGCAGTACTACTTCTTTGCGAATGAACTGGCGAAGTGTCTTAACATACATAATGTTAGGAAAAGATGCCTCACTTTCACATTTATTCCGCACAGTACAATCATTTTTGATACAATGGTCCGCAGAATGCGCAGCATCGGGCTTAGAAAAATGTGAGGTGAAAGCTTTTACAGCTTCTATCCGTTTATGGGCCAATTTTACAAAGAATCTTCGAAGTAAAATATTATTTGTATTTACTCTATATTTGAAGTGTAAGTAGATATCTTCGTTTCTAGTGGTTTTTCGTTCAATATCCTGTGAGAAAATCTAAAAATAAATGTAAGAATTGCAGTATACTGTGCAGGAGGTTTCAGTTGCGCATTTTTAAGAGAACATTGTATTGAGACGACTGAGGATGTAACCTACACCAATTGACTGAATAAAAGAATACTACTTCTTCAAGTCGACCCTTTGATTTTTCGGCTTGATCGTAGCATAATTTTATTATGTGAAGGGAATCTCGCAATTTTACACCTTAAATGACAAATGTTAAAGAGTGTGTACCTATGACTCACTGCAGTTGCTAATATCATTTAGATTAGCGGACGCATGATGATATTTGGTCACCTAAAAGTGACATTTAATACACCTTAACTCACTGACGCATCAATCTCAGTAATTGCACCACATATGTCGTTGATTAAGCTCCTAGTCATTACAGTCAATTAAAAAACAAACAACCTTATGGAAATAGAACTAGAGGCTCCGGCACAATTTGTTGATGCACTTTTCTTATTCAAATCATTCAGGCTAAGCAAAGAATTCCAGAATCCTGAACTCTATTACTCAATAAAAACAGGCGAAACAAACTTCATATTTCTCGGGTTGTGAAGAATCAAAGGCACTGTCCCTGGAGTTCTGAGAGCAGCCACTATATCCATTAGAAAAATTTTGACTCAATTGATTATTATACTCTTGCGAGAAACTATCGTACCCCTAAAAACCGAAAAATGTCGTAAACAAACCTTTGAGATGAGAATTTCGACTCTAAACGCGGGATCTTAAAAGGCATTTTAGAAAAGCAGAAGGCATCTATTTAAACACCCATTTCATAATCTAATTAAAAATAACCATATCTGTAGAATTTTTCAGTATTTTTTTTTGGAATATGCCTTATGAAACAAGATATTTATTGATCTTTAATGAAGCGGGTTTTCGTTATTTCAAGTTAAAATCTGTGGTGGTTTGACAGCGCACAAGCAACCTCTTAAGCACAAATCAAGTCTTCTGAGCCACGACTCTATAATTAATGTTAAATAAATGTGATGATAGGCTATAGTAACCGATCATGATAGTCCAACATGAAATATTTGCACATTAAATTCTGATTTTCACGTTCTTTACATTAACGATTCTTACTGATCACCACTTACCCATTACAAACGGACATGGAGTGCCTACTATTCACGTGTTTCAAGTAGACTTTGGAGGATGTTCCATATTTTTTCTATAAGTTTACTGTTTATAAACTACTTTTTTCACCATATTTCATCATAAATTTTATGTTTCGGATAATCCGAAAATATTGTTGGACGTTGCAACTTGACCTGCAGGCTCCTAAAATGCTCGTTTGTAAATTCAAGCATGATTTTGATCTTGAGTTAAATTACAGCAATTCGACTTTGTAAGTAATGGTATATTTTGGTCCAAAAACATAATCTTAGCAACAAATGTCTAATTAATTTGTTTAAAAATGTATATATGTAAAGTTCATGGAAAATAGAAGTGGGTGTCAGAAGATTAGTTTATCCTAGCAGAAGCCAGAATCTGAAATCATCTCGTCAACTTACGACCTACGATTGTAACAGCATCGCCTGGCTCAGCCAATCGTCTGCCTCTTCGCGTTCCAATGGCATGCGAGGAAAACAAGGAGCCAGCCAGAAACAGACAATTAAAGAAGTAGTACGGAATAAGCGGCGCAGCCAGCATGCTGGAATATGACGGATTGCACCTGAGGTACTGTCACTGCTTCTGATCAGTTCTGAATCCAATTCTGTTCTACAATTTTTATTCATACTCGGGCTCGTGTTCTCTATACGATGCACACAATGGTTCCTGTTCGTCCTAGTAACAGGTTGGCTGCCAAACATTATTTAAGCCTTTTTTACGAGTACTACTATTAGCTAGGCTTGATGGAATTACATATGTCTACGCTCATTTACGTAGCTTTGTCAATTACCCGAGCCCTAATACGTAGAAGAATGGTATAACTGAACAGGCTTTATTGACCAATCACAGACCTGAACCACACGTCACGCGTTTCTCATCCAAGTCCTCCAGGCTGGCCACGCCGCTCAATATATACTGCTACTTATTCTTGTCGTTCTCTGGTTGGCTGCTTGTCTTTCTCGCATGCTATTGGAACGCAGACAGTCATAGGATTGGCTGTGGTCAGGTGTCCCAATATGTCTGCTTCATCAATAATTTTTCTACTACATTAAACCAAACTAACATTGAAATTTTAACTTGTCGGTTTTTTTTATACTATTTCCATTGCTAACATTCGTCCTTAAGTCTGCCTAATCATTTTTACTTTAATCGTTTTTGATTAGATTGTGTAGCTATTCCCCGTATGCTACCTCTTTCACTTTTAACTGAAATGTGTATTTTGCTTGCACATTAGGCCTTGCTAATTTTAAAAAAAAAGTGTGTTTTTCATGCAGGACGAAAAAACAAAACTTGTTGTTCTGTTTAGGTTTGTGCGGCATTGCCATTTTACATTGCCTGGCGGCGAGTTAGAAGGCAAATCGTACATAGATGTCTACCACCATTCGGCTTTTTATTTCGAATTAATCTTTAATTCTATTTAGTAGCGTAAATTAGAATTTTGGGTACACGAAAATCATGTAATGTGCTCTAATTGAAAGGCTTTAGCATGGTTCTTTATCGATCGGTACAATTTTCATTACAATTTTTATTATATTAATAAAACCCGGATTTTGTTGTTCTGCTGAGAGCGCAAGTTTGACCTTTTTTCTGTGTTCTAATTAGGGAATCATAAAATAGAGTGCTTGTTCGATTTTTTCGGCATTTTCAAACACCTGAATACCTATTGTAAATCGCCAAGCGTCGTAGAATAAACTGTTGTAGTGTTATTTTAATGTGACGAGCTGTCTACGTATATGTAGGACTGTTATTCACAACTGACAACTAGAATGTAATAGAAGTCAAAAAGTCAAACTCAATTTTCGGTTACTTTCTCATTCATTCATGCCTGGTAAAAAAAACATTGACCAACTATTTGGAATCCACGTAACGTAGGCGTACTAATCGCCAGCAGGATATTCCATTTCAGATTCTCCTTGTGTTTGTACCTAATAACCGTTTTACACTACCTTTTGGTGTTAGCTGTTGCGGCGAGTTCAACACTTTTCATCGCATCCTCATACGATTGCTTGTGCTGGAATGCGGTGCCCTAGTGTACCCGCTCTAATGGCTGTCAGTGGCTCATAAATTGCAATAATCTGTTATCATATAAAAATGCCAATTTCTCCAACTAAGTCTGTTTGGACAAGAAAAACCATGCCATATTCTATGCCATTTGTATAATTTGCAATTCCACTTACACACGGGCTGTTCTCATTATGCGTTTTATCAAATTAAATCTGAACAGTCGGGAATCATTTGTGGTGCTGAATAAATACTAGTCTATTTGCACACGTTGTAAACCTATCATTGACTTCATTAATGCTTGTAGGCTTTCTGGAAATTCTTGCCATTGTGTCAATTGTATTTCATCTACTTTTTCTGATTGACCTCAAAATGTTGTCACTGTGTAGTTGGCCAAAAAATCTCTTTACATCATATGTGGAATATATTTCATATTTTTGCGTGCTGAATAATGTTTACCTTTGATGACTACCTTATTGGCTTTGCCTTAATGTAATTGTCTTTTCAATCTGTGTGGTACTGTTTTGACTATTACGTGCTGGTAAACATCTTCGTCTTAGATGCTGTCTAGTCTCGCTCCAAGTTTACTGTCTGGATTTTCCTCTCAAGATTTGGGATAAGTGTAAACAACATTCTTTGTGCCAGAGTACGAAGATTCCTGAGTAATATTTGTTGAATGTCAATGACATACTTTACCTCATCTGGTTTGTTTCGTTGAATGTTTACATCCTAATGGCATATATGACGGCCATTTCGTGGTTTCAACCTGATTTTATTCGTCGCTTCAAATCATCTGTCGGTCGTCGGACATCGTTTCTTTAATTTTACTCATCAATGATTGTTTTGCTTGTTAAATGCCACGTGGACCGCTGACTTCAGTCGTGTTGCTCGTTTGGATCGACTGTTTGTTAATCAAGCACTTTAGTCACGCGTTCCTCTTTTTATCTATATAGATAGCAGCAGCCTTTGTGAAGTTGGAAGGAAAAAATGAGCCGTTCTTCACCTACACCCGAATCTAGCCCCGTCACTGTTAATGTCTACGACATGGTATGTAACAGGCCGTTCGGTTATCGTTAATCTCTGTACTAGTGCCTCTTATTAATATCACCAGACACTTTTTTTACATTCTAGTCATGGTTAAACGAATATATTGGAAATATTGGCTTGGGCGTATTTCATACAGGCGTTGAAGTCTACTCCAGAGGTAACGCGTGGTTACATTTATTGTCACCTTCTGGACTCACTAGTTTAGGAAGTAATTTGTTGGGAAACGTGTTTTATTCGACTTCGCTCATGAAGTCCTAGTTTTATCTTCCTTGTCTAATCGTTAGGTTCTTTTGTGTTATTTGAAAACTGCCCATTTATTATTCATTTTCATACTTTCTGAATTTATTTTTCATGGCCAACTTCCTTGTGCGGTTGATTTACTTCCGTATGCCTTGTTTGTAGAGTACTGTTATGAAGGCCATCAGTTCGGAGGCTCTGGGATTTTTGAAATGACTCCAAAGGATACTGCGAGCCTGGGAGCCAATTATTCATTTAAGTAAGTTAGTGTTTAATTCCACACCACCAGTTACGCAATGTTGCGCGATTTGCGTAACTCAAGAGCTTGCATAATTGGATCGTGCGTCGTTGACGCTGTCGGGCCACTCACTGTCTATACGAAAAGAAAGTGATATATAAGATGGGTATTTAATGTAATCTCTGTGTGTGTGTGGCGTGGCCACTTACTTGAGAATCCATAAAGTGCATCGGTGTTATTCGCTCAAAGCGAAATCTGGTCATCTCTCTGCTTCGACGGCGAATGAAAACGTTGGTCTTGAACGCAAGTTGATTTTGCCGGATGGACAATTAACAATAAATTATGCGGTAGCTGATTTAGCTCCGCCTACTAAAAACATTTAATTGATTAGCTGTCAAAGACTTTTGTTAATTGATCATTCGTGCTTCGCTGCTCTGCTTAAGACATTTCTTTGGGTAAGAATAAAGCTTCTTGATTCATGGAAATAGTGTTTATTTAATAATACGAGATAATGTGGCTGTAATGTATTGGGTGATTGCGAAAATTCGTGCTCAATTTTCATGCGTATAAGAAGCATGCACGTTCGACTGTGGCGATGCTTCTTCCATAGCCATCTTATTAACTGATAGGCATCCGAATGCGTCACGAGCCAAGTTAACCCCGGAAAGGTATATTTGAATTTGTGTGATGGATTAATATTATAAAAGAAAAATTAGAAGTCGCATTTTCATCTTGTGGTGTTATAAGAGTTTGAGAGTGGAGTAAGTGTTGGAAATGCAACAAAAAATATTCACGATGGTCACTTGGATTGTGCTTCAGCTCTTAGCAAAGTTGCTTATTTGTTTAGTCTAGTTCGAATAAGTGACCTCGATGTAAGCTATTAAACATCGCCTTGGACGATTTTGCGACATTTGTCCGTGATCCAGCGAGTAATCATGCATGGATTGCCACTGAAGAGAGACTGACTTCTCACAGTCGAACGATTCTCGCCATTTTAGCCAACTGGAATATGTTCCGAAACTCGGTTTATGGGTTTTTCACTTTTTGAATAAATAGAACAAATCGACCATTGTCTTCACAGTCATAACTGGAGACGACATTTTTTTGTGTACAAGGAGCTGGAAGATTAGAGGTGAAAGGGCTGAATTATCACATCCAACGAAAGTGCTATTATGCTTTCCCGATCTTCTACATGACCTAGGAATTCGTTCGGCCAAGTACAGTGAGCAGTTCACCCAATTCACTGCTGAAATTCAATCCAAGCATCCAGATTTGACCAATCGAACAGGCATCAATTTTCATCATGACAACGCTAGACCACACGTAGCTCAACGAGCTTAGCAAAATATGGGAAGTCAATATAGGATATTCTCTAGTAGTACCCGCCGTATGATCCCGACCTTACCCCTTCTGATTTTCATTAAATGTGTTGTATTTTGTCTCAAATCGGACACGTACTTTTGCAACCGCCCACGAAGCTCGCCTGTTGTCGTTGAATTAGCCACTTTAATTTATATTTCTGTATGAGCAACGAGTTTAGTGCATCGCGAATCTCGTCGGTTGATCAGGTTTTTTTTGCTCACCGCTTCTGATTCACAAGATATGTCTGTCTGATAGCTTGTTAAATGTACTTTTATTGTGCGTGTTCCACTCAAGGTCAATCGATGTTTTTTAATCTGTCCGTTTAATCACCTAATCTGACGGTTTTCTGACGTCGATGAGTTCAATTAAAACTTGTTGCCGACCCGTGTGCATAAAGTTACCTGCTTAAATCACTGTAAGCTCTCGACGTTAAAATGTTTTGGAAACAAGGTTACCTCTAATTTTTTTTCTTTTTGTAGGACGTCCATTGTGGTTGGTTACACGGATTTTACTTACGGAGACGTGTGCACAATCTTAGCAACAATGGAACAGAACTTTTGTGGTGATCAGTACCACCTGCTACGAAAAAACTGCAATCACTTCACTAGCGAATTTATTGAGGTAATGCGGTTTTCCTTTTCTTAGAGAAGAGTTATCACTCCAAGTGCACCTTCATTGTTGCCTAACCCAATTCGCTTTCGTTGTCAGATTCTTTGCGGAGCGGCTCTGCCCAAGTGGATCAATCGGTTAGCCGTAGTTAGTACCAAGCTGCCCTTTATAGAACGATCAATTCCCAAGTATTGGCTAACTCCTCTGCAGGTGAGTGCTCAGGTGCTGGCATGCTATTAGTGTTCTTCGGTGGATGTCTACTTTCTGCTAACTTCAAATTCTAAACTACACACTTCTTCACTGGTCTGTCATGCACTCATCGATCGGTCATTTCGTCCTCATTAACCCCAATACCTTAATTTTTGTGACAAAAGTATACCCGTGTTACCGCAACTGAAGTTAAGTCTGAATCTAACCCAATACAGCTGTCATTACGTGTCATAAGAATAACTGATACCTTATTGATTCCCATGGTAATGCGCCTCTAAATTCGGGAACGTCCACAAAGCAATATGATTGGGAAAATCCCCTGGGAATCACGCATTCTTCTAAAAAGTTTAACTCGAACTTGTAGGTTGTTCTCATTTACCGGATATTTTGGATGTATGTATAAGCTTTTTGTCGCTAACTGACTTTAAAATTATGTGTGATTGCAATTATCTAAGGTATTAATCGTCAAACACCAACTCACCTTCGGGACCCTTTCATACTTTACCTTTTGCATGTGCGCTTTGATGTAGGATGTAATGGCTTAGCAACAGTTTTTGCTCATCTCGTCAGTCTTCTGCTGTTTTCACGTGTTCATTATCACTATAGGGTGGAAACGAATACACAAACCATAGAAGCAACAGGAGTGATAACCACGTTTCTCAAAGCGATCGTGATCGGCAGGACAGCACTTCTTCAACAGCCTCTTTGCCCGTCTCCCCAAGTCGGTCGAGTGTTCTCAGCGCTCCTGGCGAACAGTGGCGTCGATTTCAATCTCAGGTCTCTACTTATTTCGGAAGAGCCGAGGGTAATTCCAGTTCTTCAACTTCCAGCCAAAAACCGTCTTCAACTAGTGCATCTATGCCTTCCCATTCATTTTCTAATAATCGGCCTCCGAGCTGAACTCCGACCGTCACTATGTTATCTTCCCAAATCGGTTGGATAATTCCTCTTGCCGTGTGCAATATATTTGTATATGATATTAATAGTCTTCCTCCATCTCGCATAGGTAATAAATTAGATAGGTTTTTGCGTCGTTTTGTTTGATTGGCCCTAGTTGGCGGGTTTTAGCTGTACCAGTTAATAAAAGTATCAGCAGAGTAGTTTATCCTCTCATTACGACTGAATTCGATGTCTTTTAGGTTTGTAGTTTTTAGTTGTTGTCAATTATCGGTCGTTGCACCTTATATTTATCACTTGATCGAAAACTGTAATGGGCATAAATGCAAATCAATAAACTCTGTGGTGATTTTGCTGCAACACCCAAGCGATTTGCTGACTCAGAAATATCTAGAGTATTAGGCTCTTCAATACACCGTTTAGATGGGCAGCTATTCGGACGATGGTAATTTAGGGGATATGAGGAATTTTAGGGCCAAAAACCCTTTTTAGGCTGCTAGTAATAATATATAAGGAAGTGCAACACCTTAAGATGTGGAGCGGCAAAGGCGAAATCTCATTCAAATAGGCGTAATTGAAAACCTAGAAGCTGAAAAGCGATTTAGGATGGTGAATATTAAGAGTATATGGCAGTAGAAGAAAGAGGGGATCAATGCATTTGGAATCCGGTTTGTCTAAAATTACTGAAAACAAGTACTAACATTGATACCATCAACAAAATCCCTATAAGATTTTGTGCTAACCAAATTTTAGTTTCATCATTTTATTCGAAAACACCGAGGTGTAAATAAGAGCATACTGCCTCCATTTTGCCGTACATCAGAACAGAAGTACATAATATGATTTAAGTTACACCCTTAATGTGAACAAGCAGGGTTTTTTTTACACTAACTTTATGGCGTTGATCGAAATCAGCACAATATCAATCCTAAATTATGTCATTTTAAATAACGAGATAGCATCTATTTGCTTTCACTCTTAGCGCCTAATTCGTAATTGGAAGTGAAATTAAGTGGAGTTACTTCATTAAAATTTAATTCCTTTTATTAAACATTCGCAAAGTTCGTTTCCTAATATTGTCAATCCTATCTTCGTTGTGAAGAACAGGTGCCTATACTTCAAAACAAATGAATGAAATTATAAATTGCATAAAATGTTTACTACCCTAAGGAGAAATGTATAGAGTCATTAATGCAGAATGAGTATGTGCCATCAAAACCAATTTTTGTGCCTCAGATTCATTGTATAATTACTTGATGTCTGGACATTTTAACATGACTATGCGTACAAATTAACGATAAATGAACCAAAATGTAGAAAACTATAACGTTGACTGAAAATTAACTTCCAACTAAGTCTAACAGTTACCAAATTTATACACATCATAAATTAAAAATTGCAACAGAAAAATAATTTGAAGAATACCCCTACCACAAATCCTCAGATTTTGTTTTAATACACCTTCCTTCATGGCGGCCATTGTTTTGGTTTCCTGAGCCACATTACTTTAGCATGAGTTCAGGTCGCAGTGCATCTCCGGAGTCATCCGAGCGTGTTAGTGGATACGTCAAGTGGTTCAATGTGAAATCAGGTTATGGGTTTATCAAACGCCTTGATAATGATGAAGATGTATTCGTACACCAGTCAGCAATTGTGAAGAACAATCCAGATAAATTTCAGCGATCCCTTGCAGAAAATGAACCAGTGGAATTCATTGTTAGATCGGGTCAGAAAGGTGATGAGGCTGCTGAAGTCACGGGACCAAATGGAACTCCAGTTAAGGTACTGTTTTCTTTTGTAGTCATTTGGTCTCTAAAGGGTAGCGACTATGCTTCCGGTCGTCCGTTTTTTAACTCGAGAGATCGGGGATATGGACAGCGGTCGTTCGCGTCCAGACAGTGGAAGGATGGTCGCTCTGACACAAATTTCGCAAGTTTCTCCTAAAATTGGTTCCTTCTTGGGGATCGTTTTCAAGTGCTATGTGCACTTCGGAACCTGCCAGCCTTAATTAAACTTACTATTCTAAACATAAGTTTCTCTTTCAGCGCGAAAATAGAGATAGAAGCTTTGGTGACCGTAGCCGCTACCGTGCTGGGTTTAGCGACCGAAGGCCTGTCGCCGATCATCGCTGTAAGTTCTCGTAGTCGTCAACCCGTCTTAATGTGCTTTGAGATGAATATTCTAAGATAAATTTCGGGTATTGTAGACAACAATGACGGAGAATGAAAGTCGTCCATATGAAGCACAACATTATACAACTGTCCTGCATACCAAACCCCGTTAAATTTCAACCAACCCGCCGTTGCGCAATCGTCGTATCGCAACTGCAGTCCATCCGTTCACTTGCGGTGCACCGTCGTTCCCATCTTCCTCGTGGCTGCCCGGTGTTCCCTTTGAACGGCTGACACTGGAGGTCCTCTTAATGACCTACGCTCTGCATTTTCCAATTCTCTGTACCCACAAACTGCATATATAAAGTTGTGCCTCGTTATTTACGTTGAGGGTTTTTGCAGTCGATTTGAGCAGTAGTGCAAACCCAGCGTTTCTGTACTGACGCTTAGAAGACATTTTACTTCGTCTGACCCGTCAACCTCACTACAATTTCAAGGTTGGTAGGTTTTGTGATCGCGGGAGCGTTGCTAATAGCTATCTAAACACTGAAGCCGTACCTAGGCCGTAGAGGTTCCCGCCGGACCGCCTACAACTTTATGTAAATCATTGCATTTGGTTATCACAGCGTTAGGACGACGTAAAGATAGACTGTGGATTTGCATAGTTAAAAGCTTGTTGGGCTGTACAAGAGACGTAGTTACAATGTTTGTCAGCCTTTCTGCTGCTTGTGCCAGTGAGCGGCGAACCCAGCAAACTGGCCGCTGCTCAGCATCTGGTGGAGTCTTTCCACTTCGTCCATGGTCTTGGCTTTCTTGATGGCGTCTTGAACAGCTAAGAGGTCCTGATTGCTTCCGCCACCTTAATTACAAAAGATATCAATGTAAGAGTAAGGAAAATTCCTTAGTCGTTTATGGTTGGCATTTTAGGCTCTAATAGTCATATTTCTAAGAAACCTCGAAACGACACTCCAGTGAACACATGTCCGCAGTAATTTATGAGGTCAAGTGTTGATCTGACACTGTTGCCTGTTACAAAAAGCTTCTGTAAGTACAACGTGACTCCATTTTTGAGGGGGTCTTGGATGTCAGATATTAGTGATAGTAAATATATGGTACGCGCGTACACATATTATTAGGAACATCCGGATCACTCCAATGGCCAAATTAGAAAGCGAGTACTGTAACAACGTTAAATGATCCCAGCAAACTAATTAACCCAAACACTTACTCAGCATGACACGTTTTACACCCGCATGGAGAGTAGCTTGAGGAAATTCTCTTGATTGGTTAGAGGCCGGAGATTTCTGTTGGGTTTTTGTGGTACCAGATGCATTTGAGTTGTCACCGTTGCTTGTTTTTTGACCGACGGGGGCACCTGGAACAAAGGTTTTTACGGCAGCGGTGCCAGACGCCTTCCCCTTGTTGCTGCTATTTGCAACTGTAGTACCAGTTGAAGACGGAGCAAGCGGCGTCAAATGCTTTACGTAGGAACGAGCTTGTTTCCGCTCTGACTGGGTTATTCGTTTAAAGTCGAGAAACCGAAGCTGTTCAATTAAATAGAGACGTGACAGTTTTAACATCGTTTACCGAATAAATACAACTTTATACCTAATACACGTCTTTGACACTCACGAAAATGAGAGAAATTACTGAGAGCATACCACGATTATGGGTTATATTTGAAGTGTGATGAATGAACAATTAAAAATAAGGTAGACGAATGGCATGAAAGATGGTCTGAAACAATACTTAGCCTATTAAATTTCCATGACCAGCAGAATCACCATTAATCTATAGGTAACTAGAACTGTAATAGTTAAAAAAACTATAAAATTCATTTTAGCATTCTACATTTTATGGGGATTTCATTTAATGAAACTTTCTAAAGGACAGCAAGACACATACCTGTGGCAGCCTCCCAATGACATAAAGGCGATAATTCATCTTCATTGTGACCGGGCATCGCGCGAGGGAGAGAAAAGTCAGTTTGGTCAAAGGAGCCAGTGGATCAAGATCCTTAAGCTCAGCAATGTTGTTGTCCGTGAGAATAAGCGTTTCAAGATTAGGAACAGAGGATACCAAGTCTTCACCAATACGAACAATCTACAATGAATTGGAGAAAGTGGCGTGGAAGCTTAAACTCACTAGCCAGAAGCATCAAAAACAACATAAAAACAGAATATGGTCACGAAAGCTAGAAATCGTACATTTGACACCACATTAAAGCTAATTTACCAGGGCTTCTTACGAGCAAGGGTGCCGCGAATGACAATAGCCATAGAAATAAGGTATTCTGATTGATGTACGCGTCGAGAATCATAATTACGCAATTAAAATTTACTCATGAAACTGATACAATTAAATAGAACACAAACTTTATTGTCCGTTAGGATGAGGGCCTTTAGGCGTTGAAGAAGAGGGAAACCATCAAGTTTGCGGATCTCATTGTCCGTAAAATCGATCGTATCAAACTGATCGAGAGTACTTCCCAAATTTTCAATCGCAGGAACTTTGTAGCCCCTAAGATCAAGCTCTCGGTCTTTAAGTGGATTTGTATATTGCATAGCCCCCTCAACAAGGTCAGTTGTCAATTTCACCATCGCTAAAAAATACCGTACACGAAGAAGGCTTAAATCGAACAATATTACGGGAACACTTAAACAAACACAAAGATTTGTCCTATAAGGGAAGCTATTTAAATGTGCTACAAATCTTAAGGTGGATTGTGAATTTAAAAATTGTAGGGCAACTGTGTAAAATAAAAAAAATTTAGCAAATGTCATTAGGGAGGAAAACGGCCCCTACTTGTTATGAATTTTTACATTTATGAAGACGTTTATGAGCAATGAGCTTTTTTAAAACTGTTTATTTATCTGCAGTACAGGCGACTCGCTTAAATTTTTTTCATGAGTTTCCTTGGTTATTCATTTCGAGTTTGCATATGTTTCTCCCTAATTCCCTTGCTTAGATCGACGTAAATTTTATTATTAGTTTTTGACTTTTAAAAAATTGTTCGAATATTATTATATAATTGACAAATCTATCGAAATGAACTTTTGTATGGCGCAGACCATAATGCACACACTTCACACTGCTTGATTTTTAGAATACCAGACCCCTATTATGAAGAAGGCTGATGCATTAGAGGCTCGTCATCAGCTTCCTCTATCGACGGAAAATAGGGTTTTAGCTGGTTAAAGTGAACGGTGAACCCTTGACTTGGACTATCGTCGAGACTACACATTACACACATTGCTTCATTAAGGACCGCGTCGACCACAAATGGTCCTGCCTACGAATGCTGTAATTTCCTGCCTTCGTCCGCCATCCACACTAAGACATCTTTCTCGACAGGGGTACCATGAGCCCGTTTATCGTAATAGTCCTTTTGTCGCTTGTGAACAAGGGCTAGCTGTGACCTGGCTGAGTCTAAAGACCGATGCAGTTGGCGTCGTAAGTCAGCAACGTTTTCGGAAGGTCTTACATAATTTGGCTCTTGAGGTGGGGTGCCACAACATCAGCCGCCAGCCGAAACTCGCGTCCGAAGGTCATTAGTTCCGTAGTTAGACCACTTGAGGAGTGAACAGCAGACCTTTATGCAGGTAAGCATACCGGAGAGACGTCGCTCCGATGATTCAACGCATATTTGTCGAGATGCAGTCTTAAAAACATCCTATTCGTCCTGTTAGTTCATTTGACTTGCCCATTCCCCTGAGGGTGATATGCCGTAGTACGGCTTCTCTGATTGCCTAACAAATCGCGCAACCCTAATAGTAACAGGCTTTCAAATTTGCTGCCTTCATTAGTATGAATCTGGCAAGGCACCCCATGATTAGCAACTCATACCGCCATGAATCCTTTTGCTACAGACAGAGGGCCTGCCTTACGGAAAGGTACAGTGTTTTCTTACTTCGTAAAGTAGATAAGCATGACTAAAATATATTTGTTATCACTAGATGTCGGTTTGGAGTTAAGCCCTATAAGATCTGAGCCCACGAGTTCATTCAGGGACCCCACTGTCATGAGTTTTAGTGATGCTCTGTCAGCGTGAGGTGAAGACTTGACCTCACCACATCGGTGACAACTCGCGCAAATATTATTTATTTTGTTGCGCACGGCCGGTCACCAATATCGCCTACGGGCAGCTTTTTTCTACTTTTGCTGGTCCCAAGGGACCCAAACTAGCATGTAGCCCAGTCACATGCGTACCTTGGTACTACCACCCGCAAAGGGTACGATAATCCAAACGTATATTATTGGACTTCACCCCTAAAACTGAGATTTTGCCAGTCAAGCCAAAGCACTCAAGCTTCGTAGCTGCTTCCTGCCATCTCTTTGTCTGTAGGTTTGGGAGAGCTCGCGCACTGCCTATTGCAAATGAGGCTTATGTAAGAGTCTTCTGCTTGTGCCGCACACTAATTCTCAAGTTAGTTTGTTCCATCGAGATCGCCGCTAGTTCTGTCATGATCTTCAGAATCCTTGACAATGCATCGGCATTCTTGTACTTCTTTCCAGGACAATACTCTTCTCTATATTTGAACTGACTCAGCACTTCCAGCAACCTCGCAATAATGCCCAAAGTTCCCCTAAAGTTATGCGACCACCTCAGAGCTTGACGGTCCATACGTACAACAATCTCGTTACCCGAGAGGTAGTGCTTAAAGTACACCAAGAAAAACTTTAAGGCTAGCATTGAGCGATTAGTAGTGCTATTATTGCGCTCAGCCTTCAATAAGGCTCTGATGAAAATGTTATAGGGTGTTCTGAGCCTTCGGGTTGAACCTGTGAAAGTACCTCCCCATTTGCTTTGTTTAATCCATCCGCATCCAAAATGAACGAAGGACGATTCTTTCCAGGTTTGAGCCGTTACCAGACAGGCTTTGAATTCACAGAATGCCTGCTGACACTGATCCGTCTATTCCCAAGATCGACTTTCTCCATAAAGTTGTGAAGTGGTGATGCAATATTGGTAAACCCTTTGACAAACCTACGGTAGTACGTTGCCAGCCCTAGAAAACTCCGTTGCTCTTCCACATCGGTTGGTGTCTGCCATGTCCTAATCTTCTCCGTTTTATCCGGATCCGTACTCATCCCTTACTTGGATACCAAATTACCCAAAAACAACCTACTCCCTGAAGAGCATGTATTTCTCTGGGTCAAGTTTAAGTCCTGTCCACAAAGTCGTTCAAAGACATTACTTAACCTCTTAATGTGCTGCTTGATGTCCTTGGCGTGGACGATCACGTCGACCATGTAAACCAAGCACTCTTGCGGTACTATGTCACGAAGGACTGTGTTCATTAGTCGCTGAAACGTTGCCGGGGCGTTAGCTAGGCTGAAAGAATAGTCTCAAATTCGTATAACCCTGGCAGAATAAGGAACACCGTTTTCTCTCGATGGGTTGGGTTGATCTCGACTTGCCAGTAACCTGACTTAAAATCCAAAGTAGAAAACGACGTTGACACTTCTAGGGCGTCTAGCGTAACATCCATCCCTGGGATGGGAAAGATATCTTTCAATATGACTTCATTCAGTTTCAGATAGTCAAGACATAACTTAATGGCACCGTCCTTCTTTTAGACGACAACTATGGACGATGCTCATGAGGATGACGATGGTTTAATGATTTTCTTCTGTAAAATATTCCCGATAACTTCCTCAACTGCCTGTTGATACGTTACAGGTATCTGTTGAGGTCGTTTCAGATAGAGCGGGCTTCCGTCGTGTGAATGTCATGAAGCGTAATATCTGTTCAACCAGTGTCCGCACCGTCCCACTCAAAGACGTCCACATATTCGCGGATCAGCTTGCGAAGCTGAGTAAGGTCGAGCCCCTCGCCGTCACTCTAGCTCCTCTGAGGTCAGGTGTGCCTGAGTCGTGATCGCAGATATGACACAATTACTCTGCATATAAACTACCGGTATCTCATGAGACCCTAGGCGCAAGCAACGCTGTGGTCGACTGTATTTGCATGCGTACCTGTAGACGTAGGCTAACCCCTATATACCATCGTATGGCATATCTTGGCATAGAGACTACCCGAAATAGTGAGTGAGACATCAACACACCCCTTACTACGCATCACAGTACCGTTCGCGGCCTTCACACTAATCGACGACTCCACCAGGTATGGAGTCCTGGGTTAACCAAGGAGCATCCGGCACCTGTATCAACTAGAATGTCTATCAATCTACTGCAAAGACCTATAGTTATGAAGGGTCGGGTATCAGCACATGACGCATGATTGACAGTGCATGAAACTGACGTACCTGGGGGCTTCTTAGAACCTTATTTGTTACAAGGTTTACCCCTCCATTATTGCCAGGTCCATCACAAGTTTCGTTCAATGTAGAACCACCGGTTGGTCTGAAATTTGGCCTGTGGAAAGTCTGTCGTTGCGGATGGTTTCAGCGAGATGCAGGACGAGTTCGTGCTGGTAAAAAGAACGGTTCTCACTTCCTTAAACGCCCTCTGCACCAGACTGCAAATTTCGGCCGTGTAATCTAAGACATTCTTCCCGGGGCGATGCACACAATCACCGAGTCTGTCCAAATAGTCTGATAGGCTTTCTCTAAGTTCTTTGTATGGGGTATCTGTGTGACAGCCAGGCCGTTCTGCTCTAAATCGAGTTCTTCCAGACAAATTTCCAAGAAGCCTACGTGCTCTAGTTTGAGGTTTGACACTGCTCAAGTTATCATCCACGTCGTCTAACCAGGTCTCATTGTCATCACCATCTTATTACTTAGGGGCCCTAGACGTGCACCTATGAATTTGGGCCCGATGACGTTCTCACAGCGTTTTTGCTGCCACACTTTGTAGGTTACGGGGCCATGGTAAGATCAAGGCCGAGAAAAAACGAACACTTTGTTGAGACAGAAACGGCCACAGTCTGTCAGTACTATGAGGGAAAACAGGGCACTTTATATATCCTAGTCCTGTTTGTCCTGTTCTCCCATCGATCCGTTCCGCGGCGCTATAATAAAGGTGGAAAACTAGTGAGCAAATTGGATCCCAGTCCCCAGCGAGTCATTCAATGCCTGCGTAAAGCCACGCAGTCAAAGTCGCAACCCCGATCACATGCTGATTTTTACCACACTGTGCTGATTACCTTCGACCAATGTCAGATGGCAGCTATTTGCCATTAAGCTACACCGGGCCTTTGTATGAAGAAGATTAGTAAAACAGAACAGGCTTTATTCGGTAATTACGAGCAAAAACCACACGCCCGGCGTTGTCCATCCGAGTCCACCACACTAGCTACGCCGAACATTATGCACCATTTCTCCGAATGCGTCTGTGTTTAGCTGCGAACCTTATTCACATGCCATTGAAACGCAACGAGACAGAGCATTGGCTGAGGCCAGCGTGGTCCAAAAAGTCAGTGCCCTTATTCGTCGCTAATATGTAGTGTAGAATACCCGAGCCCTAATAGGAAAAAGACTGGTACAACAGAACAGGCTTTATTGAACGATCAGAAGCCAGAGCCACGCGTCAGGCGCCTTCCATCCGAGTACACCACGCTGGCCACGCCGCTCATTATATACTGCATCTCATCCATGTCCTTCTCTGGTTGGCTGCCTTCCTTTCCCGTATGCCATTGGAACACAGAGGGATACAGGATTGGCTGCGGCCAGGTGGTCCAACATGTCTGCGCCCTAATCCGACGCCACACCACAGCAGCACAGCACCATACCAAACCACACTACTGATTATATCTAATGCAGTCGGTCGGGCGTTTGGGCCCCACTGTTCACCATGCCCATTCTCGAAAAAGAGATACATATTTAAATAGTTTAAGCTCGAGGTTGCGTGATTCCCTCAAATCCATTAAAGAGAATTATGACATGATACTCTCTCGAGGAAAGGTGCAAAATCTCATTTTGTTTTTAACATTTTAGATGGATAACCAGGCAGTAATAAGTCGTAGTGACAGTTATGCACAAGCTGCACAAGAGAATTTCGAGTGTAATGTTAGAGGCGCTAATATCGTACGTGGTTGTTTGATACTACTTTGCTCTCCTTTTCCACACAATTAGTCCCTCTATTGTTTTTATTTAATTAGTCTTGTGCTTTTTTTACTATCTTCTTAATAATACGGAAAAGTTAGATATTATGACGTGGAACATTATTATTTGCTACATGAGCTGCTAGTGCAAATTTTGGCTATTCAATCTGGTTATTGTATAATTCATCCAGCTGGTGTGAGTTCCATGGTTCGTTTCCCAGTAGTTTTTTTGTACTGTGGATTGTGATATTCATATTCAAACAATTCCTGAATTCAATGTGGTTTGTGGTGTAAGTATTGTGTTTTGGCGCTTTTATTTCAAATGTTACTTAACCATATTCTTTCTATTGGCAACATGGCGAAGGAACTCGTGTCATACAATTGCACTACCTTCTATCCTCTAAAAAGAATTCCTTTTAACACCAGGATTTTTTTGGGATCTTGTTGCCTCAAGATTTCCTTTTGAATTGTAGCTCTGTTTGATGTCTGTTCTTTTCCGTTTAGGTTGTCTTAATAGATTTTTTGCGAACTGTGACCCACAATATTGCTATTGCAAAGCTACTTTTTCCATGACATCAATGTGTGTTCCCCTCTAACTGACCTCATATTAATAGCCTGTTTCTATTAAGTCTTTATTTGCGTTAATCATTCTGTTCGCATGTGTATATTGGTCCTTAAAGGTAGTCATTTTGATCTTACCTAACCGAGTCACCTATTTTGCTGCACAAATCTATGATTTTTTTGGAACTTCCCTTATAGGCTTTTTATTCACACAAACTCATCGATATTGATGTTCTTGTGCAATTGTTCTGTTAATTCTATTGTTATTCTTTCGTTACTATAAACGACACCATACGATGATGTATGTATTTCTAACCTCTAAAATAGCCATCTCCCTATTGCAGAAACTAGCTGATATTTGTAAGTGCATGACCCTCTAGCCCAATTTCTCTCCCGAGAGAATAAATTGATCTTAATTTGGCCTTCAGTCATACCACTCCTCTCGCCATAATCTATTTCGATTAATTGGTCAATATGAACTATTACTCCTGTTGCTTCAGTAATATTCGGAAAACTGGAAATATGTTATATCGATTTGATCGTGGAGCGAAGCATTACTAATTCTCTGCTCATGCTGTTTAACATCGTAGGGTGTCGTTCTAGTGTTTAATTGGTGATTGGTAATCACTAAATCTTGAACATTTGTGGCTCGGCCATAGAATTTAAACTGTTGTCCTGACTACCGCTATAAATTGCCTTTAATATTTTTGGATTTTATTCACAAGTTTTTACTTCAGTTTAATTACTACCTTATTTAATCTTTCAGGTGAATGCCTGTGAAAATATCACACGCTTATTGTCGGAGGTTAAGCAGTTGTTAATCTTAGGGGACTTTTGTTGGCTTGAGTTAATAACCAAAGAGGGTGCCGAAGAACGCAATAGAAGACGAACAGAACTTGACGCGGTCGCGATGCAACTGCGTGACGAGATCTCGCGCGATCTTTACGCCCTTGAAGAGACACTTGGCGCCTCCTCCAGTCGCCGTCGCTCGCCACTAAGTCAAGAAACTGAGGACAAGAAGCTGGAGTCATGACTTTGACATCTTCTGACGGCTTGTACATTTATGTATCTTGTATATTTCTCAGGCAATAAAAATGTTCACTCCTAACAAAAGCCAGTTCTCTCTGATCATCCATTGCTGCATTGCCAAACACCAAAAGCTAACTGTTTCGAAATCTTACCTTCACCGTTGCGTGTTCTCTGGGGTAGTCAGTCTCGTCTGTGCTACTGGGATGCCAGTTTTAAAAGGCAGCTTGAGCTACTTGTTGCGGTCTTTTTTTCGCTGAATTGTGTGAAAAGTGCAGGAGTGTTTACTTGTAAATTTAAGTAGCCAAGTACATTGTCCTCACGTCGTGTCTTAATTCGTACTAAAAATATGCGTTTTGAATATGAGTGGCAACTTTTCGAGGGCTTGAATGGAAACATCAACAGGCTTTAGATCGCCCAACTAGCTTCACTATCAAACGGCCTTGAATGCCGCCTTAGCCATTTAAACCCACAAGGTGGTGAACACGGTTGCTCACTTTATCGGAGACGTTGGAGCCTCCTAACATGACTCAGCCTATTCGTGAGGTAATTAGAATAGGAAGCTATTCAAGTCAATAGTTGTCGCACATAAATCTTGCACAATGTAACGTCAACATATCAAGTTGCCCATTCTTCAAGGACCTACTTTAATGCACTGTTCATGGTTTGCTCCTATTCTGCAAATTTGGATGCAGATTTCTTGAGGTGACTTTTAAAAGAAGATGACCTTACTTACTGATAAAATAAAACGGGCAAGCGTTGCTAAATTCCTCGATTAGTGTTAATCTTAAGTATCGCTTCAAACTAAGCCTATAACTTCCAAAGTCAAAGACGTCGATAAGTTTGAGCGGCACTGCCTTCAGCCTCCATGCAAACGATGTCCACGTGTGCACTCCCAACTGGGTCTGAAAGCTGCGAGTTCAAGTTAACCTGAGCAAATCCTTCCAAAAGTGGGCCTTAATTAAGAAAACCACGGGCACCCTTTCAAAGTGCTGATTTTCAGCACGCCAGCACGGCACAGCCACGGCACCCCTTTGAACCCCTTTCCTGTGCACAGTGTTGAAGTTCAAGATGCGTATATATCACCACCGCCTCCGCCGCGACTCAGATGGACTTTATACCTTCACGCTTGTGTCGCTAAGTCCGCCTTGCCCTCCACCCACCCATTCACCCGCCCCCCCCCCTCTCCTCCGCTAAGTAGCGCTGCACCGGGTGTGCTCGGGCAGGAGAACGAGGTGGAGTTAAGGTGGGGGGTGCGCGTGTGCAGGCACATGTTGCGAACGCGCGCCACGAACTGGAGTGTGGCGGTGGTGGTGGTGGTGACGGCACAGGGGCGCGAGGGTGGAGGTTTGGATGACTAGGCAGAGTAAATAAATCTGGAGACTACAGCGCGGTCTGACTGAGGGCGCCGGCAAAATCGAACCACCGACGGTTAGTCGTGATAGCTACGGCTAACCGCTCTCACCTCCAATGCAAGGTAGCCTCCCAGTCTCTCACTTAATTCCAAGACTATTTTACCCGCCGATAACTGCTGTTGGTCACCGTCATGCTTGTATCTTAATGGTGTCTGCGTTTCACTTGTTGCTGTGATGTGCAATCAGTGCCAAGACGCCAAATTTACGCACTTCAGGAAAACGGCTCACATCTTACATCCCTCATCTTATATTTCATCCGAAGTCGTGGTGTGTGGTCCAATATACATTGGTTTATGAAGAGTGAGATTTAAAAGTAGGTACTTAGAATAGTTGCAAGTGGTTGATGTTGTCTCCTTTCCCCTAACCCCCTCTCCTCTAAACTTTCGACGGAATTTCATGTAACTCCGATCACTTGCTCTCTAATAAACCAAGTATGGGTGATGGCATACAATTGGTGGTTGCCTAATCGTGACATTTTAAATCGTCCGAAAATCAGGGCGGCATGCCCGTTTTGCGGTGGGCCGTTTAGTTGGGAAGTTACGAGGGTCGCAAAAGTGTTGATTATAACATTGGACCAATGCTTTAATATTTAAAAAAAACACAAACAAATAGGGGACTGTAATTTGCGGAACCCAATTAAAGGGCTTCTGTAAGTGTTAAATTGCTCCAAGTTTTCCAAGATTGTATGTTAACAATTTTTTTTATTTCAGTATCTCCACCCCTAACTGTCTTCCAGTCAAAATGTCATTTTGTCTTCTCTAGTATTTGGTTGCAGCTTAGCGCCTTTTTAGTGTTATGGATGGTTCGGGGAAAGATGGGTTGACGAGAGATCGAGACTCCATCAGTAGGAGGGGAAAAATGGTTTTAGTCAAACCCCGAAACTCGTGTTTAGAGGAGTCATAGGGTGGTCCTACACTGTGCACTGCTGGTTTGCTCTCGAAAGCTTTTAATAATCCCGATATCCTCTCGTGTGCAGGTCACAGCTACACCCGCAGCCACCCAATTGCATGCGCGCCTCATAAACAGGAAATGCTGTGGGGACGAATTTGAAACACTTTCAACTTACCAAGATGCCTCTTTAGTCCGTGAGCTGGGTTGATTTGCCCCAAGTTTTGGGGACACCCTGGCGGTTAGTCGCGACCATGACGGTATCCATATCGGCCCGGCCGCCATGCTAATTGACTTTCCAATAATCCGACCGACCTGTGCACTCAAAACCGTGCCCAGCCAAGCCCCCTCGTCAATTAGTCATTATCACTCGGTCCAGCTCGCCCCTTCTCATCCAATAACTAAGACGCCAATAACGGGGGTGATGAGTACCAGATTTATGATAAGCCCTGGCGAACACCAGGGGAGGCGTTGGAGTCCCGTGGAAACTATTGCGCATCACTTAAACTGTTTGCATAGTTGTCCTACCTTTTACCCCTTACACTACTCGAAGGAGTGTTTTGGCTTCCAATGCAACTTCTACCATGTGCCTAGTCTCGAATCTCATATTTTTCGGACAGGCGATAAATTGATTGTGACATCAAACACACGCTATCACCAGGTTTAATCTTTGTTTACAGGTTTCTGTCCACTCTTTATTGGTTTTACCATAGAAACTTCAGCTATTTAATGCTCCTTGAACCATGCGGTCGAGTAAATAAACGAAAATACGGGCCCAATTAGATTTGATCTCGGGACTTATAGCTGGCTCAGGAATCAGTACCGAAGAGAGACTATTCTGGTTAGGATTCTTCTAATTAATTCTCCCATCTTAACAAATTCCTTTATAATGAAGAAATTACTTTGAAAGATACTACTCTTGAATTTCATGGCAAGGCAAGCAAAATCGACGTAAAGATGACACAAAACAAACAGAATATAAAATGGTGCCGATTTAAGCTTCATGTTCACTATAAAGTGCCGAGAAACTGATTTCTACATGTCACGGTAGAGTTTGCCTTGGTCTTTACATCGATTCACCCGTGCGCTGATTTGGCCGGATGGGCAATTGAACAAGTACTCAAATTGTGTTGGATGAAATTAGCTTTTGGGCACGAAGTCACGCTTGTCAGTTTGCCATAGGTACGATACAAACAGCCTGATTAAATCCCATAAACGAGACATAAAGCACAACGGAGTTCGTTGATGAAAGCACTTGTAACAGTTTTGACGCATAGATTGATTGAGTTTTCACCCTTCACATCACAAAAGGGAATTGTGTTGTATACGGTCCGAAGCTTTGTCGACACGAACCGCTGACAGTTCTGCCGTCCTTTCAACAGCATTGGCGCCTATACAGGCTGATTTGCTTTTTCTGTTCAACCAGCAAAAACCATACTGTAGCTGATTCCCTCTTATTGGGTTTGTGATTTGAATATTCGCTACATCCATTGTTCCACCTATCCAGTAACACTTGGATATCCCGACTCCAAATGTTATGCCATGCATACTGAGCTGCGTTTGCAAATGCTTATGCACTTCAACTGTGTACCCGCGCCTGATGTAAAAAGCCAAGTTTCAGCAGCCTTTTGCAAACACAATTCAAGCAAATACCCTCTTGGATGGTGGAAAAGGCTGATGACTTAACGCGGAGTGGCACTGTGAACTCATGTTAATTCAGTTGGCTAAATGAATAGATGGCTCTCCACAATATCCATTTCGGAAGCAGGCGAATGGCTTTCAATTGAGTAAAGGGCTCAAATGAGATTGTGTGTGTGTGTGTGTGAAGTTCTGTCAGGGCAAATTTTCGACGTGTGTGTCTTTAGACATCGAGAACGGCCTAAATTACCTTAAAATTGCTAAATTTCGCCTCCCGCAAAATACCAATGCCATATTTTTAAAGTTGATATCATCTGGTCGTAGTGAATAGATTACTGGAGCGTAACTCTGTGAGTATCGTGACAGATGTTAACACGAGGGGGTGAAAGAGTTGTTTTGTCCCAATAATTATGAGCCATCTGCAGCCTATTTGTTCCAGTGGGTGCCAAAAATACAACAGAGAGTAATTTTTGAAATAAAACTTAAATCTTGTGTGGATTTTCAGAGTGACCGCTAGATTGCGGAGGTTTAGCCGAGAAGATTTTGTGTTTGGGTTCGAATAACGTTGACGCATTGTATCAAACATTAGTGAAATTTACTCAGTGGCGTTTTTTCCCTGTACTCGAATTAAGCAGCCTGACAGCAACCAGCGGAATGTAGTTCGTGATGCCAGGCAGCGACGACTTAGATTTGTATCGAGCCAATAGGGTTTAGAAGTTCTCAATCAAAACAGTATAGCATGCCGCTGGAACGCCACCAGATGCGGATGTGATAAAGCTGTTCGAGATACAATCATGCAAGCTGCTGTTAAATTGGCCATATTCAAGAAATTCGCATGACAGAGGCGCTATTAAATTGAATCCTCGAGTAATTGCTGAATGATAAAACGAGATGCAGAGAAAAGACTGGTGGGGGCATGACAAGTACTTGCCATGGATTCGATTACATTGCAGAGGCCCTTGGCACGACGAGATTTCCGTCCAAAGAGAGTTTGTGGCCTGTTATTTCATCGCGTAAACTGATTTTTAAAGGAGGGATAGCATTAATCCAATTAAAAATGGTACACTCAGGTATAACTAGAACTCTTTACAGCAACAGCCATCATTCTGATAATATTTCCAGTGATGCATTGCCGATAAAATGAAGCATTAAATGACTAAGGCTTACATTGTGGCCTAACAACAGTCATGCAATCCACGATGATAGATCATCCTATGCGGTTCTTTCAAATCTTGGTCAGTATATTAACTGAAGCCACTTAACCTGCATACCTCCCAATTTAATAAAACGATTCCTTGTACTTTTAAACTATACCTAGGCTGGTGTTGCAATGTTTGCTGAGCAAGTAAGAAGACTGGCTTATGATTTTGCCAATTACGCATCTCAGCGATTTAAATGGTCAAACTCTTCCCTGCCCGTCGACAGGAAAGTGCTCTGATGGGCACTTTTATCGTGCCGATTCGTGGAATGTGAAGCGACGTGATGTACACGCTTAGCGATCAGAGAACCACCGAAAAGCCCAATTACTTATTTCATCGTAGTTCGGTGCATGAGAAAGCTTTTTAAGTATAACCAACCAGCTCAATACTTCGTATCTTCGCACAGTTGAAGGAATTACCTGTACGGCACTTAGCTACTGTTGATAATTGAGACTGTTTCGCTCTATGCAATATGGAATTAATGAACCTGGTTGATAATCTCGAAATTACCCACTTAGATGGACAGGTAACCGTGTCCTATTTGGTACTCACTAGCGACCTCAGTGTTCATATTTACTTAAGGCAAGTGCAGATTTCTCACAATTGGGCTACTTGCTTATCACTACCATACACGTCAACCAGCGGTCTGATACGATTAGTACAATCCAATTGAGCATTCCGTACGGTTTTGACTGTTCTATTTGGTGGGGAGCCTATGTTGAGCAAAGTAACGGCAGATTTAATCTCTACCAATAGGAGAGCCGTGCGTCCCTACGTCTATAACGCGATTGGTTGTCGTTAAACCCATGTTAGCGCAGCTGGCAGCGCGCCCCCATTGACGCACACAAAAATGTTCTCTGAGCCTTCGAGTCCGGAACAGCGGCAGCAACCACCCCAACAGACGTCCACATCATACACGGAATACCCTGAGTTTTGGAATGCTCAAACCCCTGCTGTCCCAACTGCGCCTTCCACATCCTCTTGGGAGCAGGAGTGGGCCACAGGACACACAGACTCTCAGGGCTGGCCCTCTTCTCATCTTCTCTATTCATCACCCGAGAGTGTCAGGCCACCTGATCAGTTCACTACGAGTGGCAGTGGACCGATCCACGCGAAACCCCCCTACTCTTACATATCTCTCATCACGATGGCCATCCAGTACTCTCGAAGGAGGATGTGCACCCTCTCGGAGATTTATGATTTCATCACAAACTTATTCCCTTACTACCGACACAATAAACAACGCTGGCAAAACTCAATTAGACATTCACTTTCATTCAATGATTGTTTTGTCAAGGTGGCTCGAGGGCCAGACAGACCAGGAAAGGGGTCCTTTTGGACACTTCATCCAGATTCCGGTAACATGTTTGATAATGGATGCCACCTCCGCCGCCAGAAGAGATTTAGGGATCCAGCACGGGAGGCGGCAAGGATAGAAAGAAAGAGAAAATCCAAAGGAGTGTCCGCGGCAATAAAGAAGGAGGACGATGAGGAGGAGGCTGAGGCGGTGGTGGTACCACAAAACTGCGAATGGAGACAAGAAGTGGTCGGGTGGACTCAAGAAAGTCATCCTACATGGTGTTTTTGTGAGCCCCCTCCCCCGCCTCCACCTCCACCACCTCCTCCACCACCACCACCACCACCTCCTCCTCCACCACGATCTGCGCTGCCGCAGCCATCGTCCTCTCAGTCCTGGTGGAACTCGGTGGCGTTTGATGCCTCCGCGACTACCATCGGGGCATCACCACCGACACCGCTTTCTACTCTACCGTCAGAATATTACTCCTAGCAGGAATTGGTGGGTTCTTCTCTCTGCAATTTCTACATTGGTTTGTAGCGTTTGCTCATACCCAACTGACATTTATTAGATCCTTCCCAATAAAAAAAGCATTATTTATTTAGGCGTCTTATTATCTATACCCTTAAAACGTTCTAGTAGTAATTCTTTTTGGCCATGCTTTGTTTAGTTCATTCGCATTCATTGCCTGGCTGACTTTTTGTTTTCTAAAGTAACTGCTCCGTACTTGAAAAATTTAACAGAGAAATGTCACCACCATAAGGTCTAACCAGTTCCTCACACTGTCTCCAGTCTTTGCGTAACCCTAAATTGACCAATATGCTATGAAACAAATTTGGGAACCCATGGTTTCACCGGAGATTTGCTTCAAGAAATTCTGAAACACGACGCAAATAACTGCTAAATGTGTTCCAATAGAATAAAAAATGCAAGTATTGTAAGTGAAACCACCACGAAAAACATCAATTTTGCCCTGCATATCTCAGTACCATTGTCCCCTCCAGCACCGTAGAATGACATGTTCAGTTGTCATTTGATTATGTGACTGGGAGAGCGTAGTTTATTGACCCGACCAATACAAAACTACAGAAATGGAACAGTTCATTTGGTCCATTATGCATGCAGAGTAAGACCCCACTACCACTATTAAAACAGGCCATGGTCAAGCCAAAAGGATACATTATAACGTGCACTCAAGCTAGGTTACCTGGCAGCAACCTGGGACAATAAATGGCAAAATGATTTCCCAATCTGCTTGATCAATGTCAGAGAACTCTGATGACTCTAGGTGTTGTGGCAGACTGTGAATAAGTGTTCGTGACATATTCGTTAACCACTGAGGCCAATCACTTTTCGCATGGCTGGAAATCATCGCCCTTTTGTCATTGTTCCATCCTGATTCACCTATAATCGACAAATTGGTGAACGGAATATCTCTGGCATGGCTTTGCTGCGTCTGCTCATTCGAACTTCACGACATCCAGGGGAAGAATAGACAGGAAACACATTTTTGGGGTGTTATAAATGAAATCTACTCGACGTGGGTGGCCTATTTACTTGTTAATTGAATACACAGTCGCCAATCGCCTAATAAGCTCAACGACCAAATCAACTAGTACAAAATCAATCTGCATCAAGTGGCCTCTTTTAATTGGTGCACACATTGTCGTCGCAGCAGTAGGAAGTGGTGTTTTGCAGGAGGGTTGGGCGGGGGGGAGGAGGAGCTGGGCTATGAGGGGGGAGGGCGAATTGCGAATTGGTGAATTGTCTCACCCGACCACCTGTTGCCTCTCACCCGTCAACCAAGCGCGTCGCTTGACAAGAAAGGCGTTTATCGCGAAAAGAGGCGAGGTGGGAATTGGCCATGCAATAAGGCTATAGTCAAGCACTGAAATATGGTTGAACAGCGACTCGGCAAAAGATTGATCGTTGGCACAAGAAACTTCGAATTACGACGTTTCACCAACCACAACCATGAGGTTGTCAATGACGAAGAAGCACGAATAGGCAAGATGTAATCATGGTTTGAGCAGACGACATTTAAGTGGAGTTGTAACTCTTCACGATACGAATTAGTGAACAACTTAGAAGATAAAATGAACAAATTCATTGATTGCACATTCGCGTGTTTGTGTGGTTCTTTATTAGCTAAGTGTCGTTGAGATGACGAGAGGATTGAAAGGGACACAATTTTGACACGACAGTTTCGAATACTGAAGGTGCTAAAGGAATAGGGCATTCAATTATTGAGCTTCTACTTTTTCTTATTTGCTGTAAAGCACAATGTCTCTAGCAACTATAACGTTAAATAACCCAGGGTCAAGTTTTTTGTACTTATGGCTGTTAATTGTGCTATTAATGATGCTGAAAAGTGCTTTTCCAGTAAGCGATCGCTCCTCTTAAATATGCCCTTTATTTTAGAGACATCTGATTAGTCGACTTAAACGCAACACCAAACAGTGGAACCTATATAAAACCATCAGCAATGCACTAAAAAATTAGAACTAAGCTGAGTAAAAACCGACTTTTCCGCATTATGATTACCTCAGAGAAGCCGCCACTTGTAGCGCGACTCGGTCCGTTTAACTTATGTGCAACAGCACATCGAGTTGTACATGCGTGTAAGACATGGGAACAACTCCGTAAACCAATTCTATCAATTATTCCCCAAATATCAGGGAATTTGTGTCCAAGCAGACCACATCTACTGACTTCCAAGCAATGCGAAAAAGAGGTGTGTTTTTAGCCATGGAAACGCAGGTTACGACATGGCAAGTATTCTGCGATTTGCTAAACGTTTTTTGACAACATTTGAAAATAGCACCGAATCAGGCAAATAGATTTATTTTAATGCGATTTTTTAAAAAGAATCACCCTGCTGTAAGCAGCATCGCTAAGAAAACTAGGATGGGTGCTTCTGAGCAATGCAAATAGGACAAATTCAGAAACGCGGGGCAATGGAGCCTATTTAGAGGTGCAAGATTTTTGAAGACACGACCTGTGCAAAGTAGTTAACAAAAACGCTGGATTTCGTAGTTAACATCCACGAAAACCATGTCAGACAATGAGCCATGGAACGAAAGGTGCGCATCGGGACAGAATCCGAGTTAAGGAGGTTCTGCGTTGGTCTGTTTAGTTAAGCAGAAGCTCTGCTATAGAGCACTCGTGGTGCAAGCATGGGGCGCTAAATTTAAATTCAATCCGCATGGTCCAGAATGTGTTCATCTTAATAACTGCAAAAGCAGGTAAGTTGATTATGAATAGTGGGCGAATTCATAAGCGTGCACTTTTCTACTGCACGTGTCTCAGATGTGGGAACAGGCCAAATGTTGTCACTAAACACGGACCATATAAAAATAGTAAAACACGCTAGCAGGGTGGAGGAAAAAACGCGTTACTGATGCAGGAAACAGCTTTACCAAAACAGTGCGATTCACGAGTAGTGAACACTGGACAGCAAGAGGTAAGAAAAAATGACGGAGCAAATTTTCGCCTCCATTCTGTCATATTTCGTGCTCATGTGAGATGGAATTGTGGTGCACTGAGGAACGGATTAGGCACCAGAGATCAAAATGCTCAATCAACTCAAATTCCGACCAAAGGGGCGGTGATTCACAATCCACCAAGCACCCTTGGCTAAGTGACAGCACATCCACCGAGCACACAACGCCATTCCCCGGAGGCAATTTACCATATGCGCACATTTCAGGCTAATGACAATTTGCAAAAATTATATTCCACACGATTAAGCCATTTATACTCCAGGCCATATTCTAAATACGGCCATGTGTTGTGCTAATAAGCGGCGGATAAAAGGACCACAGATCCACCGACGCTAGAAATCACCGAATTGTGTAGTAACTGCAAAATGAAGTATCCAATATGCGTATTAACTAAACAATAAATTTACACCCAGGGAAAATCCGTATTACAGTGCGCCATGGACACGGTCAGCGCCTCAGGAAATGCACACAATTTGGGTTCTTATGGGAAAGAACACCGAGACAGATCGTAGCATTTTTCGGGTGAGATCACGTAATTATTGCGAGAAGCACATTCAAGAACCAACGAATTGCACTCTAAAGCATTTGAGTCGACGTGTCGATAGCACCAACGCCTCTGAGTGCTATGCCATTGCTTTTGGATGAGCCACTTTGGTCACGGAGGAGGTAGCATATGTCAGTTTAGGAATCCAACAAGCTTTCAATGCCACACCGACTCATGAAGCTCCACAAGATGTTCATGTTCTCTGCTTTGGCCTCAAGGCAAGGAAAAGAACCGATAGTATCACATTCAGGGCACGTGGGTCTGACGCGCTTTTACACGAATTGGGCAGGCATTGGTCAACTCCACCACGTGTCGATATAGTAAATAAACACTGATGATGCACCATTTATCAAGAAACCAGCACCATTGCCGTACAATGGCATCAAAAATTCAATAAGATTTCCAATAAATTGAAGAATAAGTAAGGCACATTTGCACATCTAAACCAAACAGTAAGCTATGTAAAACCATTTGCACATCTAAACCAAACAGTAAGCTATGTAAAACCAGTTGAAGGAGAAAGAGAAGTTTTCCCTCAAACAGGTGCGGGAATCCACTGCACACATCTACAACCCGACACTGACTGGAAGGACCAAAGACCGTCCAAGCGATCGAGGCAAGCCTAGAAGGGGTATACGTAACGTCCCAACGAAAGCACTTCCTGCTGTTGGCGGCGGAAATTGAATTTGTGCGTTGCGTGACAAACTGGCCACAAGTCTCTGAAGGCCAAGAAACTCCGAAGTTGCTGAGGGAGGCTCAAAGATTTGATTGCCGAGGCGTAGTTCATTTGGCGGTCTAAGAAGCAATCAAAAGTACACAATTGACTACAGGTTAAACGACATTGGGTAAGGAATCCGTCAATTGCATTTAGAACACTTTAACTCAATACGAAAAACACATTAAAACACAGATTCTTAGAAAAATGGAAATTAGCCACATAAAAAGTTAGTTGCTATTCGAGCCCACGAAGTCAAGAGTCTGCTTAGTCTTAGACCATGAGGCATTCAGTAAAGTTGAGATTGGCATACGACAAGAATTGCGTGAGCGTTTCACTGTCATATGTTGGAGTGCTTAAAGTGAATCCCACGCAAAGTATTTGGGGTTGTTGAGGTCAGTGTTACGGACAAAGACTCGCTTAATTGGACCCTGAAAATCACATTTGAAAAATTAATAAACCTAAGTGCTGGATAAAATGTTAAAACGATTTATTTGAACAAGAGGGTGGGACGATCAAGTGAAGCCCTTCTACAGAACGACACCACCCCTTGATCAGTGCACAAAATAGCCTGCAGCACACAACAACCGTAAAAAAATCGATAACACAAATACCATTCACTAGTCCCTTCATAATTTCCTGCCTGATGACGGTTCGGCAGCACTCCAAGAGGGAGAGGGGGCTTAATTGATTGGTTGGCTTGTCACCACCGAGGTGGCGATGCCACAGCCAGCAGGAGAATCGTTGGGGGAAATCAACAGGGCGGTCTGCTGCCAAGCAGCTCGCGACTCCCGGGGAATCGCTTGCAGAGCATTCGGCGCAGCGCTGAGGCGCGATGTGAGCCCAGTCCCGCACCATCAGTTCGGGCGTGCATCGGATCAAGTCGAAGAGCAGATTGAATGCTGCTAATGTGTAATCAGGGCTGGCGGCACGTCTATCACAGATAGTGTCGATCTAAAACAGACAGGTTCGAAGGGAGCTTCATGGAGCAGAATTCGAAAAAAACGGTTGCGGTGTCGAAGAAGAACCAAGTGCTGGTGAAATGTGCAATGAGTGGTGAGGTTAACAAGGGAATAGGTAGAAAAGAACGTAATGAAACGAAGAGATAAGGAGCAAATTGGACGAGACGAGATGGAATACACGCAAGACAAGTAATTTGACAAGAAAAAAGTAAGAGTAGAACAAATTGCGCATGCAAGGTCAACAAGGCAATTAACGACGATAAGAAGGGATAGGAACATGTAGTATTCAGGTAATAGCCAAAGGTAACTGAAGAGATTAGAGACTAAGAAGCCAGAATAGTGAGAATCTACAGGAGAGTAGCATACAACAACGAAATCAGACACACACACACACACACATGCAAACAACGAAGGCCTAACTTCAGGAGTTGTGCGAGCCTACCGCATCGTGCGAGAACGGATGGGGTGGAGGTCGCAAAAGGAGATCGGCAAGGGTTACACTCGAAGTTGATCCGTGTGGAAGAGCAGGGCTGGCCACAGCAAGGGGCCACACGACGGGCAGGTAGGCAGTGCCACTCATCGCAAGATCCAGAGGCGACGCTCCCAGCACATTTTGCCGCTGTGGGTCCCAATTGTAGGGTGGATTCACCAATACGTGCACACAGTAGCCAGCCAATTGACGAACAGCATACTAAATTAGCGATAAGACAAGTAGACGACGTGGCCTGATGAGTGCAGTGGCTGCTCACTTCATATTTAAATTAAAGGGTTCGATTACATTGGAAATGCCATCTTCTAACCAAACAGATCGACAATAATAGATGTGGACTGTCCCAGTTCGAAACCACACAGTGTTATAAAGAAAAGGTTTGTGACCTCAGAAACGAGGGCTTAGAATTGGGGTAGAAGCTCGCGAATAAATTCCAGTAAATGTGTGAAGTCCTTTTACAGAATTAGGGTTCATTTAAAAAAATATTTGCTCATTTTGCTGAGAGTCGAACTCAAACTTAGGTTTCTGCAGCATTTCTAGCAGCCAAGAGATAATCGCCATAGCAGACTAGATGGCAAGAAGATGGATGAAATCGTGCTGAACACGACATACAAACAGGAGACAAGTCGTTCTATTTTGCCAAAAAAATTCAAACGAGGGGGCCATTTTTTTATCCACCCAAACACAACTGACATCGGCAAGGCAGCACTATTCGAAAAAGAGTCCACATTCCCTGCAATTCAGGAAAAAGTTACGACAGAGGACAGTCCACCAGATTTGTGACGCATTAATTTGAGACGTCTGACCACCCATACTACTGATGAGGGCATTTCGCAAAAGGGAAATCATTCCGTCCACCGGAAAAAGGAAAGTAAGATTCACGGACATGGAGGAAGTTTTCGCGGACGGCGGAATTGACAACGAGGTTCTCGGTGACAGGCCCGCCACCGCCGCCACCGGGAAGAGCCAGGAGAGGTCGGAGAGCCGCGTAGTCGTCTTTGGCGACGGCGGACTCGGCCCGATGAAGAGGGCTCTGGAGGCTCTCGAAGGCAGCTGCATCGCCCGACTGCAGGACGTCTAGGAGCGAGCGAGTGGTCATTTGCTGGAAAAGCGAGGTGACAAGGATTCAGGCGAGTCTAGCTAACCTCTGAGTGTGCATTCCAAAATCCCACTGCATTCACCCTCAACCACAGGTGCTTTGCATGACAGTAACAGACAACAGTCGTGTCTGGTCCACCCAGGCCGCTGCTTAGTTTATGCTAAAGCCTAAAACGACGGTGACTGCGCCCTCTTGAAAAGACGTAAATTGCTCAAAAACGCCTTGCAACGACACGATAGAATCGCTGAATGCCCATTTCAATGGAAATCCAGTTTGAGGCCAAAGCACCATTCTGGCTTGCTCTTTACCTATATTGAGACCTGCTTTAAGTTAATGTGAGCGACTTAAGTAAATCCCGTGCTTTTTAATGAGGTCGAATTGACCACATAGAATACAGCAATCAGGACCTGGCGTGAGATCTGCCATCTTCCTCAGAGGGTACTACGTTCGAGGCACGAAACATTTTAATATGAGCACGCGGTTAGGATCTGCGCAAAGGAACTGGACAAACGGATTGCGAATAACACTAAAGGCGCGTCCTGGCCTTTATTAGCTCACCTTTTCACTTACGAGCCAGCCTTAACAAAGCCGAAAAGTAATACACAGTTTAAGCACACGGGAGCCCAAGACACAATACTTCATCTCACCACTTCAACAGGTAATTTTATGCAAATTTGATGATTGAGGGGGGAGTGAGCTGTTACGTTTAGCCAGTAACCAAGACCACACACTCCCCCAGACAACCGGTACTCCAGATCCCTTATCAGACGCTAGCCACTCCACCCTCCCACGCTAATGCACCCACTTATATATATGTCAAGAATGACCTTGACCCGATGGATGAAGCGGAGTAACACAGATGGAGCTGTCAGCAGGGTGCGTGGGTGTGGCGTGGTTAGGGGAATTGCGCAGACAATGACGAAACCCCAAACCCGCGATGAGTCATCTTGGGGAGTGCTGGGCCCCAACAGGAGCGACCTGCCACGTGTTGCTTTCACCTACCCCAGCACATCAAAAGTGACCTTCGTGTAATCTGCTAGAAGTAGTCGCAATCAACTACGGGATGTCTTGGCTTCTTTCCCGCAGGCCCTTGGACGAGTTGACCAGGTCCCGTCCGCAAATTCGCCATGTGACTTGACGAAGAGGCCAGTCCGAGAGTGTAGATGGCATTTCAGTGCGTGGGCCGCTCACGTGAGTGGGATGACCAAAGCAAGTAGACACTGCGACAGATGACGACGGTCATATTTTGTGCGGTCGATCAACGCGGAAGGTACCCCCACCACCCCTGCTGTCACGAGCGCACGGGTGTCCGTGTTCTTATCACCACACTCAAAATTCGGCTTGTTAAATGAGCACTTTTTGATTGCAAGGACATCGTGCAGCTCTAAACTATCAACCAACAATACGAAGGTAGTTAGAGTGGCATTACAGGCAAACTAACCACGAGTAATTGTGCAAACCTAGCAATCACAAAGCACGTCTGTGATATTCGGTTTCGGATTTACCGGCAGGCGATCACGCTGTTTACAACGCGGACCAGGGGCGACGACGTGGGGCCTGGCAGCGGTCTTTGCGCGGTAAATAGTCGCGATGTTCATTTAATTAGTGCCCAAAGTACCAAATAATGACAGTCAGTGACACCAAACTACTACGACTAAGGCAATGCAGCGTATTGTGATCAAAGTAACAACCCCGATGCAGAAATGAAATTGCGGCTTGTGATGGAGTCAATTTCGTCCCCTTTGCCAAAACCTAGCTACTGACAAGTAGCCAGTACGAAGAGTACCCAAACTTCGGTGACTTGCTCAAAAAAGGCATTAGAGAAGCAAGCGCACCACCGGCGGAAAAAAGGACGTCTTGTGCCATAGTATTTCTATTGAAATGCAAGAAGATCCCAGAGTGGCACCATCGTTGTTGTACATCACAAAGTAATGTCGGAGCAAAAATAGTAAGTAAATAAGTAGTTGCGGTGTGCATATAAGATGAAGGTGTAGTACATTTTACGGATTTGGGAGAAGTTAATCAGAAAGGAGGGCCAGATGTGGACAAATTTGCGGGAGAAGAAGCCCAGTGTCTGTCTTGGGGGAAGGTGCATTGCTCGAAATAGCCATTGATACCGCAGTCTCCTCTCTAACCCGAGCACACACAGTACACTAATGTACATATATATATATATATATATCTACACGATAAGGGTGTCAGTAGAATGCGAGAGAAAAGCGAAGAGGACAAGGACGAGAACGTGCCTGGAGCGCACGTTCTGAGGCGCTTGACACACACACACACGCACACACACACATAAACACAAAACCGATTGTCCTCCGCAGGCAAATAACAGAGAGATGCCTCTCTGTGCTCGAGCGCGCCCAAATGCGAAGTCACGGAAGGGGTATCTAGGGCTTATGGGAGGAGGGGTTGGGGGTACCTTTGGCTCAAGGCGCCTAGAAAAATAGAAAAAAAAATCAATCCATCAACCAAAAAACAAAACAAAACCAAGCAGACAGCAGGCAACTACGGAGCACAAATACGGTTCAATCTGGCTATGTGGGGTATGCAAAGGGGAAAATCGAAATAACGAAAGACAATAGGATCAGAAGGAGGAGGAGGAGGTGGTGGTGGTGGGGACTGAAATCATAGAAGGCGCACGGGGTCTGGCCGACTTTGGTGCGTTGCCCGGGGGCCGTGTGTGGATGCTCTCAATCACCAGCAGGAGCGGGAGGAGGAGGAGGGGAAGAAGAAAGTATAGACAATTGATGGCTGAGTAATGGCAGAGCACCCAAGCTGTCGTCCTTTACGAATCTAAAGTGGAAGAAAGGGTGCCGTTGTGACCCTTGACTTTTGCTTCCAAGGGGCGCACATTTCATGAGACTTTCATCCAGCATTTCTGCTGTACGGTGGAATTAGCGAAAGAAAGAAGGCTCCCACAGTAGGTTGCGTTGATTGGCACTCAACCGTCAACACCAAAGTGCTACAGTTCCGTGACCTTCCTAAGCATTACTACTCAGTAGCAAATGTCATCAACGATCTGCAGTGGCATAACAGCACTTTGATTTACAATTAAGTAGATCCCGTTGTTCAGAACAACCCAACGGGATCTACTCCAACGAAGTGACAACTTTGGCGAGAGTATTTGAAGCAAATGGGAAGGCGATATGGCATGCAATAGCTTGAAGGCCAAAAATACGAAACAATTCATAGCTAAGCGTGCGTAATTTTCGAACACCGGTAAAATCTTACTTTAATACGACAAATAAAGGCAACATGGATAACTCAATGGAATGAAAATATACTGTGTCGAGGTGTATTGGGGAAGCAGCCTGTATGATCGAAGCAAACATTGATAGCCTTTCAACGAGCCACACTTGACATTGGCCAATAAGCACAAAATTCCCCGGAGACAACAGAACATTGTGAAGAGTAATAACACAAACGCTAAAATATTAATACACGAAGAAACATCGGAGGAAGGCAGAAAACATAGATGGCCGTGCTTGGGTGAGGTCGATAAATTATCCCAGGTGAGAGTCCTGCTGGACTTCCATTTCAAAATGACAAAGGTCTAGAGGCTAAGATGGCAGGAGTAGGGAGGACCAACAGCTATGGTGAGACGTGAAGCATGCGCTTGGGATTAACGAATGTCAAACTGGATATATAAGTCAGTTTACCAGTGGAATTGTTCCCAGGAAAATCCGCTTCTCCCTCCATTCCTTCCACATCAACTCCAGGAGCCTGCTGCTGTTGTTGTTGCTGCTGCTGTTGCTGACTGGCAGGACCGATCGGCGGAGGCTGCGACATCGAAGCAACGGGAGCAGTGGTAATGAGCATCGGGTCGGTCGACGTGACTGTTCGGAAATTCAAAACCCCATGAGCTGACAGAGTTGAAATGGCGTGTGTGATCTCCGCCACGGCGTCCTCCGAGAAACCGCGTGTGCGCAGCCAGGCAGCTGTTGTTGTGGTCGCCGCTGTTGTGCCAGCGTAGGAGAGTGGTGGCGACGCACGAACAGCGTAGGCAGAAGTCGAGGGGAAGAAAGCAGCTGACGCCCCGCCGACGCCTCCTCCCCCACCGAATGCGTGGTGTGGTCCGGACGACTGTGGCGGAGGCGACGCGACCAATGGGAATGCAGCGGATTCCACAATGGGAGCTGGAGGACTCTCAAGCCCGGCTGATGCATACACACCTCCCGTTGCTGTCGTTCCAGCGCTAGAATTAGGCTGAAAAAAAGCTAAAAGGGGGAAGTTATTACCACGCAAGTTTTTCGAATTACCGAACAGAAAAAGAGTCTTACCAAAACGCGGTGTGAGTTCGTAAGGCGAACTCGGTGAGGGATGAAGGATCATCTGGCCCGCAGCAGCTGCGGGAAGCAGAGGGGCGGTGAAAAACGGTGGGGTTTCTTGCTCCGAAGGAGGAGTGATAGGAGCGCCATAGTTAGCACCGCCACCACCACCGCTCTCAAGGCTACTACTCCCGCCAGAAGCATCGCCGCTTTGTCCATCACCTCGGTGCGGGCGATGATGATATCCGGCTGCGAGAAGGCGCTGCTGGTAGTCGGCGGCGGCCGCGGCGAGGTACGTGGCCTGCAGGGCAGCGTGGTAGTACGCTCCGCCCATTGAGACAGCGCCACTCCCATCGCTTTTTTGCCGGACAATTGGGGTGGAGTGCCGCGAGGAGACAATCGGCTGTGCTTGCAGAGTTGGATTGTAAGCAAACGGAGAACCAGTGGGATAGGCGCTGGCAACAGGGCCCTGGGTGTGGGAGTACGAGATGTTCGGACACGTGCCCGATTGTGGGTCCTCGGCAATTTTGGTTAAGACCATGTCAACGGCAGCACGCAATTGATCCAGCTCACCTAAATCAGTGGTAACACCGTAGCACCTTACAGAAGAGACTACACGACGGTCTCGTGTATTTGTTATTATTGCTAAAAAAAGGAGATTTCAAAAATGCACAAGCAGAGCCAGTTTCCGTCAAAACAACACAGTAACTATCCCACACTGACAAAACGATTCACACAGTCGGCCTACCTTAAAAGATCCCAATCGAAAGAGTAAAAACGAAAACAATCTTGTAGTTGAATAGGTGCCCGTGGTAGTACGAAAAAACTGAAGCAGCTGCATCAGCCAAGTTTTGTCCGTTTCAATTGCAGAGGTCAAATGACCTACCATCACTAGGCCACGCGCCGCCGAATAGCGTTGTTAAACACAGACTACATTGTCGAGTTTAATAACGAAGAAATTCAACTGTCTTTGGTAGAAATAAGTAAGAGCCTCCAGAGTTAACGGGAGTTCACGTTAAGTGGAACGCGCAACCTCATCCTGGAAAACCGATTTATAATCAATTTCTTTACTTGCATCTCACAAACCGGGCGAGCACGCAGATTTATTTAATGCTCGTTGATATCGTAATGGGGAAGTATTACAAGTGTAAGACAATTTCCATGTGGGAGACATGTGTAAGCAGTCAAAAGGTTAACATGTCACAACTGTCAAAACAACAGTTCTACCTGCCTGTAGTGTTTTTTTTTCCAAAAAAACACTACGCATGCGCCTATTCAGAAGTCTGGTGATGCAAAACAAGCAGGATAATAATTTCAACAAAGTACAAGAAAAATTGTACACATGTGTTCCAGTAAAACAGATAGAGCCGCAAACCGAGTGATGAGGTGTGACAGAAAAAAAAGATCTCAATCTACAACCACACCGCGTTGTGCCAACAACACCGCATTTTCGCGAGTAAACTGCAACTCCCACGGTGCCTTTTACTTGCCGTAAAGCAAAGACTGTGACGCTATTCGGTGTCAGCGCATCTAACGGGGGTTTGGCAAATTTCAACAAAAACAAACCCCAAACACGCCCTGCACTTAATCGGGTCGGTTGCTGTGATAGTGCGAACAGGAAAGTGGAGGATTTTTGTGTCCAATCACGCGCACCTTTCCCAAGGTTAAGATAGACGGGTTAACGTGCATGTCGGTGGCTCTGAGCAATTGGATTGGCTATAAAAGTGAAATAGGAACCTGTTGATCAGTGGGAAGTCGCTTCACACCTCACATGACACCGCACGACAGTGTCACCGCAGAACACCCTACTCGTCGATAAATTATTGCCAAGTGCTTTGTGTTTCTAACATCAAAAAAGATGACACGCGAAACGTCAGGTTTGGAGCAAGTGCACAAATTTGATCATACACCCGCCTTGCTCGGGGTCACAAAAATGCTCTTGACAAATTCTAGCTTAAAACGACGCTGCTAAATGGATTAAGACTGTAGCGTGTTCAGCCAACAATAAGCGTGATAGGCCATTACAACCAACATGTGAGTATTTGCTTGTTAGCAACTGAAAAAAAAATAACAAACTATCGACAACATAGTTTCGAAATTCCCGGTTAGCATGCTAATGCAGGCGTATGCAAAATGCAGGTATCCAAACAAAACAGGCACGCAAGCCAAAAGGAGACGCTGTCTGGCGAAGCGTTTGAGGCATTCCGATCTCGCGAAGTAGATGCAAAGAAAGCAAAAAATCACCTTGATGCCTTTTATGTGCGAGATAAATCGTTACGCAGGCAAGAACGCTACTGCACGAGACCTACATTGCTCACTAAGGACAGACCTTAGAAAGGTCAGCATACGCCCAAAAGACCGTGGACTGTTGTACAGAGACATTTCAGTTAATAGATGAGGTGATGTTTGGGGACATCGAGACAAGCCCCGGTTGGGCATTCTTGCATGGAAACATCACAGGGATTTTGATTAAAAAGCTGTGGCTTTAAAAATTCTAAGGGCACTTATTTGGACGACAGGGAGGTACGCTCAGAAACCGACAACCATGCACTCGCATAGGCCCTCCGATCGTGTGGCATATGCGAAGACAAATCAGTTTCCTATACAACAAATGGCTAACAGCGTCTTTGTTTTCCTCAAAATTTACCTCTTAACAAATCGAATTAAACCGTAATTACAGCTTGGGCTGGATCATGTTCCTATTATAGCAATTGTGTATCTTGGCAAAGCAAAGGTAAACAACAGTTTGTGTCCTTTAGTTAAAGGGGAATAAGGAACAATGACCAAAAGGCGTCGATGAGTGGATGTCTTGTTATTAAAAACAACAATATATTTTTGAGATTACCACGGCATATTTTCAATCCCGACTGCCAAATTAATCAATCGGCCGAACGATGACATCGTGTTTTTGCCAGCTTACGTCAAATATCATCCACGTTTTGTCTTGAGAAAACAAATGCCTGACAAACCTTAGAGAGCAGTCTGCTGAAAGCCATTTGCTCGGTGAAACACTAATTATACGCGCTGGATTGAGCCTCCACGCACCGTACAGTTTTAGAGCGAATAGTACAGCTAGGTGTGCATCAGTGCTAGACGATGGCCTGAGTGAAAGCACCAGCAATGCATGCAACGGTTGGGGAATACGTGATGCTGCAATCTGTTTGACAGGCGTACACAAAGCAAGGGACACTGCAACGCAAAAATCGGAAACTCTTACGGGGAAGCAAAGCGTGGGGCAGTACACGAAAACAGCGGCAGTCTACAATAATAGGTGTAAGGGGGGGTTGCATTTCGCCGATTCCATTTGTGGAGCATCGCAAGTTAAACCATGGCCACTGCTGCCTTTTATTTTGTGTAGATTGTTAAAACACGACGACGGGTGAATGCGATACCCTTAAAACGCTGTATTGAACAAAGAACCGCTTTCAACAAACCTGACATCGCCCACATACTCATGCGTGCGTACAAACTAAGTGTGAAGTCCAATTACTAGGATTAGCACAAAAGTGATGGCAAATGCACGTGCAGAAATGCATGACAGCCACGGTTTCAAGCTAATGCCATTTGAAGCAGAGGCAATTACCAGCAATTGTGATGCACCGTTCTGGCAAGTTGATTTCCTTCGACTTCTGTGAAATTTGAATGAATGCGCCAGTGGCTTCCTTGATTTCCGAAACATAACTGCCCTGTTTTCCGATCACCAGACCTGCTGTACAGTTTGGAACGAGTATTTTGACCTGCAACGAAAGAGAGCAAGAGACTGTTAAGATGTCGAGTGAATTGCCTCAAGCAAAGGTGAGCGTCGCTGACAAACCGAATTGGTCACCCAAAGAGCTGGACTCGGCGAGGTCAGGACGAGTCTTTTTATGCAATCTGGTGGCCTTACATATTAGCATCGCGACCATTACCGCATGGATAAGTGGACTTGCCAGGAAAAATGTAACTTCTCCTGGTGGAGACTGAGGCGAATGGGCAATTTCTATCCACACACGTGACTGAAATATGATAGCCCAGATAAAGTTGCCCTTCACCTAGTTTCCACAAAACGGCTACCTTAACGGGCATCCCGGTTTTTAACAAATACCGACTGGTATCAGAAGAAGCACATTAGCTAAACATTAGAAAAAATGAAGGACTCAATTTACAATGTTTATTTCACTCCACCACGTATCTAGAAGTTGGGCTCTAACCACAAAAGTTGAAACCTTCGTGATGGCACGATCCAATGAGGGAAATAAGAACCACTCGAGTCAAACCGTTTCACCAAAAAGAGCAATTCAGTTGCACTTAGTAGTACACACCGAAGTAAATCATTTTCACACAGAAAGCCTAATCAGGCACGCGTCAACCGAATAGCACAAGTCACGTGTGGGACGCATTCCACTGTCACGTGCACGCCAAACAACCCTGGATATCGACTAAGGGCGCTGAAAGGCCTTGGGATCCGCTGCGCCTGACGTTCGCGAGGCAGCCGAACAAATCACGCAGCGAACGGGTCTTAGAGATCACCAAACTGAGCCCCACGGGGGACCAGAGTCTCACCACGGTGTACGGGCAACCCGCACCTCCGCCAGTGTAGCCGTTAAAACCCTGCACTGGAGGTGGATACATCAAACAACTCATGGAGTTAGGAGAATTCACTGAGTAAACAAGCGATTTTTTGTCGATTAGACCATTTAAATGAGTCAAACAGAAGGAACGTCAAGGGCTAATTTGTCTACTGGTAAGCTAAGATAGTTCGTGAATGCTGCTGGTAAGCGGGAGCGAACTGTTCTTTCGTCCGATCACTTAATTCCACTTTAGTTCGTTCCTCACGTGCTGAATTCTGCCTAGTGATCCGACTGCCATTCACATGTTACATTTGTTTAAGATTTCTGACACAATGGTGTACACAAAAAACTACATCGAGCATTTATCGACAGTGGTTTACGCTGTCTTTTCAAATCGAGAGGTCGCTGGTCCCGCCTCTAGGCTTCAACTCCAAATCTACACCTCTCAGGTTAAAAGAAACCAGATCGCTTGCCATTTTAAACACGACCAAGTGACATTCATGCAATAGGAACAAGTAAACGAACACAATGGCCAACACACGGCTTGCATGCAGAAAAGTAACGGGATGGTTGCCGTGGGATTTATACCGAAAATAAAAAGACATTTTTTTAAAAAAAGCATTTAAACAAATGTGCCGAATGATCACGCTAACAACCTACACTTTTCAGATTAACTTTGAGGTTAGCCGTGAAATGAGGCTGGACGGAAAGAAATGTAAGATAGGACATAACGCCTTTTTTGTCGGCTAAATCATGAAACAGTCCAAGAAAAAGTAGCACAAAACATTTGCATCGATTGTGCATAACCTCTCAGTACAACGCCTTCGTGAAAGGAGTCGAGCAGATTCTTGTGCCTTAAAAACATGACATCCGGGTTTGATGCCAATGCGCGCAGCAATCGACCCAGTAATACGTATCCACGGCTTGAAAGGAACGTGTGACCACACTAACTAGATTCATTACGACGTCTTCAATGCCTAACATTGGCGTTCAAATTAACGCCTGTTTACCTAATTACAATAACACCCACGTCAGCAACGGCTAAAAACGATAGTGAAAGCCTGAGAACAAGGATCATGCTAGAAAACTAAAATGACACAGCCACGAGATCGACTGGGCCTCGCGTGAGAAACCCAAGGTCAAGACAAAATGTCCAGTCAGGCATTGTGAGGCAATAATCTCAGTCCCTTATGATGTCGATTCCAAAGCACGCGTGTTGCTCTGAATCAAAGGCAAAGAGTGTACACTAGGATTATGGTGAGGCGGTGCTAGTGACCGTGCTTGCTAGTTGGTCAAGTCTCTTTATCAAGACCTCAAGACTCGGTGGTATGCCTGCCAGTGCACAGCTTGTCTGTATGCTTGCTTGTTTGCTCACTGGAAAGACCGTCTAGAATGCGCGTGACTGGTAAACTGGTGCGACCGGTAAGAACTTCATGCCCAAAAAAATAACATGTTGAATTACCCTGGCTAAGACAACGCAATGCAGTGTGTTGTACCGTGCTCATTTGGAGGCCGGGTCGCTCGCTAGTTTAGGATAAAAATGAAAGGAAGATTCGCAATAAGTTACTACAATGTGCACAACGTGCTAAGTGGATGAAAGGCAAGACAGTGTAGAAAAATGAATCTATAAACGCTATCCCATTCGGAACTAATCCAATCATGGGATTTAGTGAGTGCTTTAGTGCAGAGGTTCGACATGGGGACAGCTGAGCAATCAAATGTGGGCTGTTGTCTCTTCGGGAATTCCCCGCCGCAGTGGGCTGGGGATACCTCAACACGGGCTGTCCAGGTGTGGCCACACCCACTCCCATTCCTCTCATTACCAAGACTGCAGTTCTCCACTACAACAATTAACATCATCAAATGCTGTGCTGCTGCACTAACAAAAAACTGCTGAGTCACTAGTGAGGCGAGTTATGAAATCTGACGCATTTATTGTGCACAAATACGGAGGAGTTTAGAGGGATTCCAAGTAAGCCCATGCATGCCAATCGTGAGGCAACTTTCAACTGACGACTAGCAAAGGTAACTCCAACGTGCCATCGAAAGTAACAATGACGTAGCGGCAAATGAGGACAGCCAAACTAATAAACACAGGGCTGTAACTGGACACGTGCAAGCCAATGGGCCCAGACTCAAGACTTGGCGTTGGAAGGATGCAGTGAGTCGGACAGCAAAACAGGACGAACTGATATAACTGAGTGGGAGGAAAGAGTGCAGGAGTTGCGGTAGAAAGCACCAAACCAATTGTGCCTCAAAAATGCATTTCCAACATCACCAGCAGCTCATTCACGTAGTCTCACTCTAATTTGACACTCGGATACAGCAGGTGGCAATTAAGTCAATCAGACACTTTCCAAACTTTTTCCACCAAACAACAGACAAACGACATCAACAGACGACGATGGCTTGTGGTGATGTTGGAAACACAAAAGTCGTTCCAGTCAAAGTTTGGACTATAGGGGTATCAACGCTAACGTGCCTGTTTGTGTCGCTCCCAAAGCAATCGATTGCCAGAAATCGGTGGTGCTGGAGGAGGAGGAGGAGGCTGCTGTCCACCTACAGCGGCCGTGGGAGCCCCACTGCCGTAAACCACCGGCCACACTGCACCACTCGGCCTTGATAGAACGTACGCGGGGGGACTGATGTATGCAGGCTCAGCGGCTTGTTCAGATCCCACAGTCCCAGTTGGCGTCATAGCTTGAGACGAAACCTCCGGTTTTTCGAGAATTCGCTCCATTATGTAGCTGTGCATCGCCCTTACACCTGCTAATGGACCCTGGATTAGACACACTCGCTCTGTCGTGCCTGAAAAAAAACCAACAAAGCGGTGGATAATTAGCCTTTTGCCACCACGCCTATCCACCACGGTGAATCTTGATAAATGGTCTTTGATGCGACATCCACTTCGTCGAGGCTGCAATGTAGCCCCGTATTTGCTCGAAATGCGAAAGAAAACAGCACGCAAAAACCACAGCTGCACATCATGACCACCGTCATGAAGTCGCTAATTAACTCTCTTTCACTTCTTTGTACCACTCAGGCTACAACTAACATCGGTAGTTACGTGTCGGAAATTAGCCAGGCATAGCCTGCAAGTGCTTGCATTTCGTTCCTGCATCGCAAACCTTTGACTTGTCCTCAATCCTTCTTTTCCTTTACTAATGGATAGTGCTTGGTTTGCACACGGTTAACCGTATCCGTCATTGGGTTTTGCGAGAAAAGCACACTTAGTTTCGACATGTTTGATCATCTCCTAAACATTCATCCCCTTAACAAACCAGACTTCTGAAAAAAAGGTATAGTCAATAACCAGAAACTTTCACCATCCAACCCACGTGCTAACATTTACTCAAAACCATGCTACCCAAAATAATTAGACGAAACAATGTAATGGAGTATCAGTGCTCGTTTCAATCAAATAAAACGCGACAATGGATGTTGGTTTTCAAACACTCGAGTACTCACTACTTCAAAAGAACCATGAAAATGCAACTACCCCGTGCAAGCACCACGCACTTACAAACCAACTAGGAACCCTGCAAGAAAAGTTTACTGTTGCATCTATCCGTGCTGCAATCTGCTGGTGCAATGTTCTTCGAAGAATGGTGAAACTGACAGGAGCAATTCATCAGCTAAAGACACTTTCAAGTTTTGCGGAAGGTGATCGGCCACAGACAGAGGACTTGATGTCCCTCTGCTATTAGTTGCTCACATCCGAACACTACTTTACCTAACGGTGTCCCTTCATTCATTTCTGCGCACCTGGCTTACTCGTTCACGCAGAGAATCGCGACCGATGCATACAATTCTAAAAAAGCTGCATCAAGACTCTACTTACTATTATGATTAACCAGAGCTTGAAGAATTTCAGCAAGCAACCTATTTAAGCAAACCAAACACAAAAATTCAAGTTCATGGTGCTACAACAAGACACATTAACGGGAGCTCGAGTAACTTTGCAACTTGGCACAGAACAAAATGAGGCATCCTCACGACAAAGGAGTACTTCTTGAGGGTATCTGTCGTCATTATGCAAAATACAAATTACGGTGGGTATGATGGTAGTTTTGATGAAAACAAGCCTCAGTTAGGCTGGCAAATGGATGAAGGGATTTGCCACACGTCCAGCAATGAGCAAATCGTCAACACTACTGAGATCTGATAGTGCGCAAAATCCGAGGCTATAGTGAAAAGACAGAGCACTTGTAGGCTAAATACTCAGAAACTGCATGCTGACCTGATCGAGGACACACCGAATGGCAGAGACAATCAAACCAAGTCACAGATGAGCCCAATAAGAAGTCCTGTCAGTTTATGGTATCTCTGCATTAAGTGATGTCTTACTGGCCTGGCTCGAGTGTATCCACTCGCTATCGCACCCCCGAAGGACAAAGTTTTGTTGCGCACTGAACGAGGTGAGTTGCGACACATGAACACAAGGATCGACATCTGATAGCCAAACCTCCGGTGTTAGACTAGATGACCCAATTATCAAACGTATGCATAACAGGCCTTGGTGACATTCAAGGCGTATTAAATTGTAAACGAGGAATTAACAAAGATGCCCAAAATAAAAGTCAAATGACCCAGAAACTATCTGGCAAAAACTTGGAGACAGGTCTTGGCGTTTTCTCAATACGTTTGGTGCGTAAAAGTTTTAGCAAACTTGCCACCTCATCGACCTAAAAAGTGATAGGCCTACCTGAATCACGACTAATCCTGACTGCATGTCATGCGTTTGCCCAAAATTAAAAGGACTATGAATGTAAATCAATTAATGTTGATTTGTCAAAATATATTGGTTCAACAGTTATTTTAGTGTCGTTATGAACCACATGGACGAAACAAATAAGCCTTGACACACAAATCAGTGATAATGTAAACACAAAATACTTTACACATGAGCTGTAAGCGTGCATTACGCAAGAACAATGGGGGAAGCTGAAGTGCGTTTTTTAGGTGAACAAGGATTCCCGTTGGGGAAATTTCTTTCAACTGTGATTGTAGGCGGGTGTTCATCAAAATTATATCAATTACTCGGCGATCTTGAGTGGTACACCACGCGAATCGCGTACACACTTCATTTGTTGGTATTAGTGCGATAATAGAGGGATACCGTCCACTTGCAGATTAAAGGACAAAGCAGCCTTTAGATAATTAACTGCTCAATATTTGTTTTATCCTATTTCGAAAATAACAGACAGTGTAGTCATTTTGTTGAAAGAATTTCCTAAATATTACATGACTTTCAATTGAAAAGTACTTGCTAAAATAATCATGGAAAAAATAATTAAAGAAACTAGCTCACCGCCAAAAATTAATAGGTAAATGGTATTTTGTAATACTTCGAGAAATAGAAAACTATGTGGGGACTCAAAATTAAAATAGTGGAACAAAACAGAAAGTTACCGGAGTTTATAACTGGCAAAATGGAATACATAAACGAAGAGGAAAACATCGGATGTAGGTATGTTATAAATTGTATATACCTCACAAAAGTGATGGGAAACATGGACAACACCGCAGCACTTAATAATACGAAAACATGAAAAAAATAAAGCTTTGCCAACTTAGGCCAAACAAGGATAAATTTCTACAAAAATGTGCAGCATCCAATGAGAGCTAGGAAACTTAGAGCGAACAACAGATCACCTCACCTGATACAAGCACCAAAAGTAAAACAGGCATATTTTTCTGCAAATTGATTATTTATGGTTACCTTAAATGCTATGAACGGAATAGGTCACTGAAGGCAAAAAGACGAAATTATTACACAATATTGCCATTACTAGACGTCAAAGGAAATCAATTGCATAAAATTAAAAACCCCAACGCCTGTATGCAAAATTAAATCCCGCTTTTAAAAAAAGTCTAAGACCAAACATTTGCAGAATTAGACATGAAAAATTAACATTAGCAAAAACATTAGAGCTATAAAAGTTAAAGGGAAATCAGTTTAAAATACTAAGTGATTAATTCCAGACACGAGCCAATACATCACACAATACATTACACCAAGACAGGCTATAATTTAACGAAACTACAATTTGCGCAGCTCAGCATTAAGATCGGCATTATGAAGACCACATGTGAACGTTCACAACATTGACACGTAATTCTTGGAGGATTACCAAGTTATGTGAATAGCATAAAAATGAACCTGGATAAAAATCATTCAGCTTGGATAACTTGATCTTTGCCCCGGTTTCCTTCTGCATTTGTCCGATCGCTTCCCCATTTTTCCCAATGATTGCACCAGCGGCGACAGAAGGGACCAGAACCTTCAGGTATATCGTGTCTAAAGATATTGAAATAGGTTAAAATTCAGCAACCTGAGGTTTTTCTTGATGATCCTTCTTGGGGACTGGGCAAGGAAGCATCACACACTCTCGGGAAACCTTCGTTGTTCTCCTCCATTTTAAAAAGACGCAGTCTTATTTCCGCATGTTAGTAGCGGCCATATGGGGTTATTAAAGGGCACTTTAAACACATAAACAAAAAATCTCCCAATATAGCATCCTCTATATCCTAGACTTCCATCATTGCCAAAAAATAGAGACACAAACCGTCCAGGGGACGAAAGCGCTCAGCTGATAGAATGCAGCTGATGGGAAGCCAGCCCCCACATTGAAGCATTTAAACAATGAGAAACAGAAAGAGGCATTAAAGTACTAAAGTACCGACTTACCAAGCATCTTCTTACAATTTAAAGACAAAATTCAATTATAACTTTAGCATGGTCAAAATAAAGTTCAAGTGCCCAATGACTTCTTATTGGGCTCATCTGTGACTTGGTTTGATTGTCTCTGCCATTCGGTGTGTCCTCGATCAGGTCAGCATGCAGT